AGAGAGAGAGAGAGAGAGAGAGAGAGAGAGAGAGAGAGATCCTCTCTCTCCCTGCCCTATATATGTTGCTAGGGGAGGAGAGAGAAACAAGTTTCCCCCCTCTCTCTCAAGTATAATAACGGGGGGCCTTGCCCCCGTACCTTCCTTTCCTTCTTGATCCCTTCTCTCTCTCTTCTCTCTATGATAGATGAGTTGTAGCTCCATGTCATAGCCATACCATTCCCTTTTGCCTCGTTGTCACCTATCGCATATGTAAATACATCCCAGAGACTGAACAAGAGAAGAAGGAGGAAAGAAGAGCCGGGAGATAGCATCACATACATACGCGGATATGAAGAAGAGCTTAGAGGCGTCTTCCGTCTCCGTGACGACACGGCAGGTATTACCGCCCACCAGTTCCGCCGGATCGTCTGATTCCTCGTTGCTGGACGGCACAAGGCCCGAGGCCGTGGCCGACTCCGAGTCGGCGCCCAAGCTGGTCGAGCGTCTGGGCACGGGAGATGATGCCAGGCAGCGAGCTCACGCCTCCATGTCCAGGCAGTACAAGTGGAACATTGTCGTCTTCGTCTCCCTGGCCGGCTCCTTCTCCCCCCTCTCGTCCAACATCTACTTCCCCGCCATCGACTCCATATCGAGGGACCTGGGCGTGAGCACCAGCCTCATCGCCCTCACCGTCACCGTCTACATGGTCGTCCAGGGCGTCGCGCCCTCGCTGCTGGCCGTCTTCTCCGACACCTACGGCCGACGGATCGCCTTCGCCGCCACCCTGCTCATCTACACGGCCGCCAACCTGGCCCTGGCCTTCGTGCCCGACTTTGCCACCCTCATGGTCCTCAGAGGTCTGCAGGCGGCCGGATCGGCCGCAACCATCAGTATCAGCTCCGGTGTCATCTCGGACATTGCCACACCCGAGGAGCGTGGTGGCTTCATGGGGACAAATGCAGGACTTCGGTACGCTCCATCTCTCTTCTCTTCTCTCTCTCTCTCTCTATCTGTCTCTCTCTCCCTCTCTCTCTCTCACTTGTGATTCTTTGCTGACCACTGCTGTTCCTGTTCTTGTCACGATATAGCATGAGCGGGCAAGCAATCGGACCCATCATCGGCGGTCTACTCAACAATCAATGGGGCTTCAAGAGCATCTTCTGGCTCCTCTTCGTCATGAGCACCATCGTCCTGCTGGCCCTGGTCTTCTTCCTCCCCGAGACGCACGAGGGCATCGTCGGCGACGGCAACCGACCGCTGACGGGCATCAGCAAGCCCTTCATCTACTACATCCTCAAGGACCCTTCGCAGCCGTCCCCACAGCAACCGGACGAGAAGCGGTCCATGGACGGGGAGAAGCCAGGCAGGCCGCGCCTGACGCTCCTCTCCGTCTTCACGCCCATGGCCATCATCGCGCAGAAGGATGTCTTCGTTCTCCTGGCGTGGGGGTCCCTGGCCTACACGGCGTGGAGCATGGTGACGTCGTCGACAACGACGTCGCTCCTGCACGGGCACCCGTACCTGAAGCAGTGGGAGCTGGGCCTGTGCTTCCTCCCCAACGGCATGGGCTGCGTGGCCGGGTCGCTGGTCACGGGCTGGCTGCTGGACCGGAGCTTCCGGTCGGCCGAGGCCAAGTACCGGCTGCGCAACGGGCTGGACGCCGATGTCGAGGTCTCGGGCCGCGCCGACTTCCCGTTCGTGCGCGCCCGCATGCGCACGATGCCCTACTTCAGCGCCGCCCTCATCACCACCACGGCCCTCTACGGCCCCAGCTACGAGTTCAACGACCTCGACGAGGGCTACAGAGGCAACCTCGCCGCCCCGCTCGGCCTGCAGTTCTTCATCGCCTTCTCCGCCACCGCCATCTTCAACATGAACTCCACCATGCTCATCGACTCCTTCCGAAAGTCGCCCACCAGCGCCACCGCCCTCAACAACCTGTGCAGGTGCCTCCTCGGCGCGGGCGGCGTCAGTGTCATCCAGCCCCTCATCGACGCCGTCGAGATCAGGAACGCCTTCCTCATCGTCACCGCCATCCTCGTCATCTTCTCCCCGCTCGTCTGGGTCGAGTGGGTATGGGGTGATGAGTGGAGAAGGGCACGAGAGGAGAGGTTGTCTGCCGAGGCGGGTCAGTAATGTATTCAGAGCATCACCATCATCGCTCTCTTCTTCCTTCTCTTCTTCTAGAATCAGCCTTTCTCTCCTCTTCTTTTTGATAACTCATTTCTTTATCACTAAAGCTCATGCCTCTCTTTCTCTCTTCATCTTCTTTTCCCTTTTCGATCAGTTCGAGTCCTTGATTCCACATTCTTTTCGGCTCTTCACTCTTTTTTCGATGGTTTATATTATTTCATGCTCATGTATACACGCAGTAGCCATAGATTGACCCATATCCGCTTAGGTGGGTATTTTTATATATATAAAAACAATAAAAAATAAAAATCGTGAAGGGGAAACGGGGCGCATCTACCTGATAAACATAGAAAGGATATATGTATACATGTCTATAAGATAAAAAGAAGAGTTTCCCAATTTTTCATAACAGGACGCATTACTCTGGAAGCCACTCGGAGAGTATGGAAAGGAAAAGAATAGGAAGAAGAAAAAAAAGTTCTTGGTTCCCTGCACGAGCAAGGGCTCCCCTGCCGGTCTTCCTTGTCTGCAAATGTACCGGGCACCCCGTCCGAGCGGCCGTCCGGAGAATCCGCAAGACCGGGTTGACCGCCCGCAAGTCTAAGAACAAGGCAGGTGTCTTATTGCTACGGAATAATAATCATGCAGAGAATTACCACCTGTACGCTCATACCTCATGCTCTGTGTCCTCTAGGATTCTAGGAGATTGTCTCTGTCTTTCTTGAGCCTTGGTGGTGATGTGGGAAGGACTAGTGGCCGGAGGAGTGTCGGTGCGACGGGAACTCACGATGCAAGCTCTAACGGTTTCTCTCTTCTTATAGAAGAAATAGGAGAGATGAATCTGCCAAGGACATGAATGAAACAATAGAGAAAGTGATGAAGTCTTGCAGTTAAGCGACAGGAAAGAGATTTAAGGTCAACTTTAGGGTCAACTTTATAACCATTCATCTCTATCTTCTTTCTTCCTAGCAGCTTCTCTGCTAGCTCTTTATCCTGGTTCTAGAATCTTATCTATGATGCCTTTGACTTGCTCGTGATCATCTTTGTACTTCCTTGAACCTTGACTGAATCTTTCTTGATGATCTCCTGATATCCTTCTTAGGTGTGGCTGGATGTGGCTTGATATGACTTGATATGACTTGGTGGCTTGACACTTCCCTGACTATCCTCTGTCCTTTGTCAGCACTTGACAGATGAATCACTGCGGCTAAGCCTAGAGGCTGCGAGTGCGGTCATGCGGTATCATCATGAAATAGTAGGATCGTTATCCATCAGATGGGCCCGGATCTATCTACCCGGAGCTATACTATCACTCGACACAGCGGGCAATCGTCACAGAGGCCACCCGTGCTAGGCCATGTCGGCGACGGCCATCTTCACCAGGTTACCGCGTGCAAGCCTGGCGGTGCGGTCAGAAGGAGGGCTGTGCGGAAGCGGGTCGATGACATGATGATCGGAGCCTGTTCGGATGGAGGGCATCGTTCCGGTATGCTGGCCTCTCGAGAAGTCGGTCGGTCTGGCTCTCGAGCCAAGGCACAATCTCTGGGGGGATAGAATAGCGGCAGTCGCAAGATGGCGATTGGAAGTTTCGGATATCCCGATTGCAGCATCTCGTACTTCTGAGACACGCACGCACGATACGGGGTCGGTTCAGCTCATCCATGTACGTCTCGTGAATAGATGTGCAGGTAAATAAATAAATAAAACTACACGTCACAGCATGGTCGCCGGCTCCAAGTTCAACACGGGCCGATGCCTGGACGTGACCGAACATCCAGGACCCGCAGGTTCTCGACGCCAAGAACCAGTCATGCCCAGCAGTACCCCGGGAAGCTGTCCATCCGGCCATCGCGGCGGAGCAGATCGAGCACAGGGATTCCGAGTAGCAGTCCATCACTGCTCATCTCCCCGGAAGCAACAATGACTCGGGTGAGTTTCCGGGGCGTATCTATCGTGTTTACCCTCACACACACATGCACACACACACACACACTCTCTCTCACACACACTCTCTCTCTCTCACACACATGATTACAACTTCTGAGATCACGTGTACTGACATGATGAGAAGGTAACTATCGGCTGCCACCTCGACCCGACAAGTGGCCAGCCGTCTGACCGTGCCCCGGGCGACGTGTGGGCCGACTGCAGGCCCAGGTCCGAGTCCAAGCCCGTCATCGGCTACGTCGACCAGGGGGGTTATGACGGGGTGCTCGCCCAGCGGCACTCCGGCCATCGTGACCGACTGCACTGACCCCCCGGTCTCGACGACTACGTCAAGCTTCTCGTCACCGAATGTACGGGCCGAGCACCCAACCGGGGGGGGGGCTGCGGATATGCCTGTTCTGATCATGCTCCAGCCGATTCCAACGGTTTCCGTGAGTTCGGCTCCCGAATATATACATATATAAAAGTCAGAGGGGTGATGTATTGTGACTGACATTGCCTCTCTCCTTCTTCTCTCTGCACAGCTGCCGCGTTCTCGTTCGAGGATCTGATCGATATTTTTTTATATGAGCCCGTACGTTCACGCAATTAATGATGTGAGCTCTCCCCCTCCCCCCTTTTCTTCTTTTTTCTTCTTTTTCTTCGTGAGTTGACCGGATACTGACTGTCCCGATCAGACGATCGGCACTATCATGTGGGATGCTGCGGCCAAGCACATCAACTTCACCATCGGGTTCCTTGTCGAGGCCTCCTACATCCAGGGAGGCGAGAGGGAGGTTTGAACTGTGCAGAACCTACACATGTACATCTGAGAAGGTATCAGAGGCAAGAAACATCGAAGACGGACGGGACAAACCTTGAAGATCTAGTAACCTTTTTTCACTTTTTTAAAACGTACATTCTCAACGGATACGGTTTCAACTGAAAGGTGGCTTGCACCGTACGATGGACGGCCGGCTACCTGCATAGTACCACACTACATGTAGAAAAGGGGTTCTTTTTTTTTTCTTTTCGACACATGAACAGCTATTATGGAGAAAGCTAAGAAGTTGAAGAAAAGGGTTGTCTTATTCCCCTCCAAGACATTGGGATAATCTTACTACGTAAATCCACTCATGGCGGAAATAGCGGGAGCGCCAGCAAGCTTGAAGCGAGGGCGAACGAAGTCAAGGAGTACTAGCAGAAACCCTACCGTGATGGGAGAGAGTATCGAATGATGGATTAGTGGGTATGGATAAGTGTATAAGGTTAGCCATACTATCTATCGAATACCGTCGCACGGCAGAAACGGCTGGGGTTCAGATGTCTCGTCATGAACCGAGAGGCCGGATGGGCTGGCTGTATTGATTATATACCACATGTACATGCGGTGCTGCCGCTCTGACAGGCCACAGTTTAGAGCCAAAAAAAAAACAAGATTCGACTATTCATGGACGATTGATTCGCTCGGGATTTCTTTTTTCAATTTTGTTCTTTTTTCTTTTTTTAACCGGTTTCGTTTAGATTATGTATGTATTATATATATGTATATATATATATATATGTATGTATACAGAAACACAATGGGCGTCATCTATCGATGCTGTGGGAATCCGTCGTATTGGACTACATGAATCAGTACTCTGTATTCTGCAGTACTGTACGATATCATGAAAATCCACACTGTCCACAGTGCGTGTCATGATGGATTCGATAGACCAGAATGCACAGTGTATGTACAGTGCAAGTACGTGTGCATGACAGGGAGCCGCATCTCCGCTTCCTGAAGAACGGCAGGTCGTTCCTTCCAGATTGTATTATAGTTTTACACTGTCGTTCCTTCCCTCTGACATGGGGACATGCACCTGACTCATCGATCGAAACGCGCAAGATGAGCAGCCGGCGCCATCCCTGAAACCTCGGAAAGGAGGCTGCGCGGAGCTTCCATGGTGCAGCATCCATCATCGAGGTGGGACTTGCTGGCCACAGTCAGTGGCGTCTTACGGCCATCCCCTCTCTTCCCATCGACGACGCTACGAGAGAACGGGAAGGAGGTGCAGAAGGGGAGCGTGAGAGAGGGCGTGAGAGAAGAGAAGAGAAGAAGATGAACATCGCCTGCAGCCTCCGTTCTGCCGCAAGCCGCTGCCCTGTCATGGAGGGAAGCTGTGCTGAGAAGACGTGAAGGCTGCTGGCAATGTGCATACATACATGCATACATACATACATGCATACATACATACATATATATATATATGTATATGTATATGTATAATGCCGCTCAGGCCCCGACACCGTCTCCAATCGTCACGTCTGCAACGGTCCACTCGGTTGGCCAGCACGTCACGTCCCAATATTGCCTCCCTGCAAAGCGATATGATGGTCGGCAATGTATTGAAAGGAATTGACGCCGTCACGCACCGTTATTGCCGCACCGGTAACCATTGACGGATCGCACGGGCAGTGAAGAGAGAAAGACGGGATGAGAAAAAAAAAAAAAAAAAAAAAGGAAACGCTCCATCAACGGGGCACGTGCGAGACGCCAACAGCTCTGACGCCTGTGGGGAGGGATATCATCTCTACTCCAGGTAATAATACATACAGCCAACCTTACTACGAGCCTGCGGAAAGGAGGACCAGGGAGGGAGTGGAGGACCAGGGGGTGGAGAGGGGACAATCCAGGAACACCAGCAGGGCTTTCCTGCAAGAGGCGGGGTCTAGGCTAGCCGTGTGTCTCGGGCTTCCTGCTTGCTGGCTCACTCTGCTGTCTCCCCTTGCAGCGACCGACAAGACAACACACACACACGGGGGGGGGAGCGAGGCGAGGAGGAGAGTAATGAGAGAGGGACAGTGAGAGGGACAGAGAGAGAGAGAGAGAGAGAGAGAGAGAGAGAGAGAGGAAAAAGAAGGAAAACACTCCATGCACCGTTACCTGCAGGATTAAACGAGTCGAGCATGTCAGCCGTCGATGACTGGAGGGGTTAACTCGCATGTGGGTGGCCCCTGTCCATGCTACCTACTGCATACATATATACATGTATGCACATGGCGTGTGATGAAACTCGTGGGAGGCGTGCCTCGCCTGCAAACATTATCGAGCGCGTTACGAGGGCTGGTCGGCACTAGAGTCTGCTAGCACCGCAGCACGAAGCACGTCGCATGCGTCCCGTCGTCACATTGGTGCTGGGGCGCTCCTCCATGATTCGACGGCGGGCCACGAGTCTGATGGGTGTGCATATCGCCTACGAGTATACAGACTACTCGACGTACATATTACACAGGTATCGATCGATACCAACAGCTAGCAGCTAGCAGCTCAGGTGCGGATGGCCATTGGCACAAGTCCAAGCCGGCATCAACCTGTCCGGTGCACCGGGGTGACGGGGCCCGAAGACACAGCAGGATTGGACGGCTAGCAGTGGTCTTGGTTCTGGTTTACCGAGTCCATCAGTGCTGCTGCTGTAGTGGTAGCCGTGGCACCATGGACGAGCGTCCGGGGTCTTGTGCCGGCACGAACCACGAGGGAGGGACCGTGATGTGGATGGCTGTCAAGATTGTTGTTGTGGTTCCCGTCGAATGTTGTGAGCCATCACCTATGACTGATCTCGGTAGCTTTTTTTTTTTTTTTTTTTTGTCGCGAAGCAGCATCACTCCCGATCCAATCCCGTCGACATTCCCCAGAACATGCTCATCTACGGGGATGCCAGTACGATGAGTTACAACGACAACAAGAACAACAACAACATCATCATCATCATCACAGGGGGCCAGACCACCACAGCACTGGGATATTGCTGGGATGCTGGGGACGCTGGGACCCAAGCCCTCTCCGCCCCCCTGCCCGTCGAGCCGGGACCGAGGTACCATGAGCCCATGATACGTCAGGTGGCGATGCCGAGTGGATTCGATTCGGGGCAGAGTAATAATACCAAGCGACCGAGTACGGAGAATGGTGGCAGCAGAGAGGCGCGGAGGACGAATGAGCCGTCCCTCCTCCGCCCCTCCCCCCCTCCTCGGTCTGGGCCAGCCAGACCGGAGAGTCTCTCGGGTCAGGGGAGATCATTCCCTAGGCTCTGTGAATCTATGCTAAGACTTATCTATCATGCGACTCCGTAGAGATGAGGCCTCAGCTCAATGCATAACACCAAATGGCAGATGGCAGATTGGCAGATGGGAAATGGGAAGAAAAGGGCACCAGGAAGGGAGAGGGGGGGTCCTCTCGGCCGCCGGTCCACTATGAGTCTGTAACCTGTACATCGGTACAGATTACAGATCAGTCCTCTCAACTTCCCCCTCTCTGCTGATGATCTGATGGAGCGAGGACGACCCTGGACGGCCCTGGACGGCCCCTGGACGGGCCTCTGGACGATCCTGGATGGCCCAGGATGGGACGCCAGACGTCAAGCGTACCCGCTTCTCAATCCTTGACCCCTGGGGGCCTAGCGTCCACTCACCGTTCGACTCTCCGCCCGATATCCACAGCAATCCTGGGATCTTGGTGGGGACGTACGTGTGTGTGTGTGTGTGTGTGGCATCGCGTCCCTGAGCACGGCTGTGCTTGGGGTTTACTCGTACCTCTGCACTCCGCCCGCCTACGAGTACGAGCACAGCCGACAAGGTTGGCAAGTCTACCAGTTAACAAGTCTACCGGTCCATCAGCCTACCGTGTAACAGAATCTACCATACCGGTCTACCAGTATGCGAAGCCTACTACTCTTGTACAGACGTACCACCCTTCTTCTCCTTACAGGGTTCCCAGAAGTGGCGTCCTCCCATGTATCATGGGTAATGGATATTATGGATATTATGATGACTATCCATATATTCCGTATGCATCCGTACTCGTATGCAGTGAGCGAGAGAGAGAGAGAGAGGCCTTTCCCCCTGGGCTGGGGCTCGGGGAGACGGCGACCTTCTCGATCTCTCTCTTCTCTTCCTTCTCTTCCTTCTCTTCCTCTTCTTGTCTTGCGTTCCTAATTCTGAGACATTGCCCACCTCCATTCGTTTTTTAATCTATTTATCTATTTATCTATTTATCTTTCGCTGAGGATCGACTCCCTACCCGACTATCCTCACCTTTTTTTTTTCTCGGCATCGATCAGAAGTATTATTTGTAAAACTTTCTTATGACAAGTCTCCAGTACACACAAGTACGAGTACAAGTACATCGATACCGTCACACCCTCAATCGCACTCCTCCCTCTCGAATCGAGTAAACTCGACGCGTTTTACGGCATGAAGCTTGGCCAGAGTTTATACTAATAACCTCTTGGGTGTCTCCTCTTGACTCCTGTCCTATCTCTCTCTCTCTCTCTCTCTCTCTCTCTCTCTCTCTCTCTCTCTCCCTCTCACCGATTGTCTCTCCCTCTCCCAATCTCTCTGATTCTCTTCTATTATTCTCGAAAGACCTGCGCAATTCCGACCAGACATCGTCACAGAGACATATAATCACTCCGTACAACATCCCGCGCGCCAACTCAGAGACAAACTTGTCGCCCAGGTTCCTCCCCCCCCCCCCCCCCCAAATAACAGTCACAACAAACAAGGCGGGAGGGAAGAAAGAAACACAGAGAGGGTCGCTTCAGAAGCGACGCTCTTTCTTGCAACATTGTGTGTGCTATATGAGCAGAGCAGAACGCTCTTCCCCTCTCTCTCTCCCTCTCTCTCTCTCACCTCTCGAAGCGGCAACCCCTGCGTTCGTCCCGGCCTACGGTCTCAACCATCCATCCACAACACCCTACCAGCAGCGGCAGCATGGCCCCGCACCAGGCCGCAACGGCCCTCGAGCCCGAATCATCCGCCTTCTACGAGAGCTTACGGTGGCTTGACGAGAGCAATGACCTGGACCTGAGCCTGGGTTTCGGCAACCTCGCACAGGACGTCGGCAGCCGGAGCGTCGGCGTCGGGGCCGGTAAGATGCCGTCATCCCCCGACGGCGGTGGCAGGTCCTCCCGGCGCACGCCCAACCGTCGCCGTCTCTCGCTCGGCAACAAGTTCCCCCTCTCACGCCCCTCGGTCGGCAGCCGACCGGGGACGAAGGACACCGCGACGGCGGCAGGTGACGGCGGCGGCGGAGGCGTCGCCGCCATCATCGGCACTACCACCACCATCACCGCCTCACCCCCACCTCTCAAGCGGTCACCCAGCCAGATGCTGCTGAGGACGTCGGGCAACGGCCGCAGGATGTCCAGGGCTCTGTCCCTGGCATCGGCGAAGCAGCCGCAGCTGCAGACCCACCACCAGCAGCAGCAGCAGCAGCAGCAGCAGCATGCCCGTCAGGTGTCGACGCCCATCGACGCCGTTGCGACGCACTACCAGGACCCGGGAGCTCGGTTGACGCTCCGCGAGTACGTCACCTCGCCGACCAAGTTTGACGAAGCTCTCGAATACGGCTTCCCCTCCCTGACAGCAGAGGCGGAAGCCAAGACAGCCGGCGGTATCAAGGACGTCAAGAAGCCAGCACCACTCGTTCCCAACCTGGCCAGAAGTGATGGCAATGAAGACAATAACGACAACGACAACAAAAACAACAGCAGCAAAAACAACAACAACAACAATGACAACAACAATGACAACGACGACGACGACGACGGCTCGTCGACGCACAGCACCGTCAGCGACTCAGACTCACCCAAGACGCCCCCCGCGGCGCACAGCAAGCCGATGGTGTCGCCCCGGCTGTGCGCGGATCCCGAGCTGTCGTCTTCGTCGTCACCCCCGCCCCCGGCCGGCGCGGTCAAGCGCCTGCACTCGCCCGGCCAGTGCCGCGAGATGACGGTGCGCATGACGCTGACGAGACCCGACCTGCGAGCCTACGGCGACGACGTCCTGTACGCGTGGCAGGATCAGGATCAGAACCGGAATCGGAACCGGAACCGGCAGAACCATCGGCAGCCTCCTCAGACGGAAGCGCCGGCGGCCCGCAAGAGCATCCTGTCCGTTGCCGACCGGCCGCGCGTGCCCAGCACCGTCCACGGCGGATCGGAGGACCTCGATTTCGGCAACATCAAGGAGAGCATGGAGAAGCGTTTCGACGCTTTCGACCAGGAGATGATGAAGGAGGACGCGACAGATGGCGGAGTTGTCAAGCGTATCTGGAAGAAGGTGTTGCGGGTCTAGCCCTAGCTGACTCGACCATCGTCTTCCCATCATGGCCTTCCCCCCTCCAAAAATTCTCTTCACCGTCCTTTTTATATATATATATATATGTATCTGACGACATTGGCCTTGTTTTTCAGCGTGGCATCTATTTGGTTCTCTTCTTTTTTCTTCGTCGCTTCTTCCCCCGGTTTCTCCATCTACGCAAGCCTTTTCTTCTTCTTCATTTCTATTATAATGGGGGGGGGGGGGTTTTCTTCTTTTTTTTTCAAGAAAGATTCCTTCTTTTCGATACCCGATATTCTTCTTTTATATATATATGTATTCTATTCTTTTCCAATGTATATATATATATTGACACATTCACGACCACTTGGGCTCTCGCCATTCCATGACTCTTCTATGCTTGTACCCTATTCTTCTTTCCCTCTTGGTCGTTAGAACATCCTACCCGTTCTTCACCTCTCCCCCCTCCCTCCCTCGCGTCGCACTCTACTTGCATGCGACCTTGATTGACATGAAGGGAGGATTGCATAAGTCTTGAGGGAGGGGGCCATGTATCAATATCAGATGAGGACATATATGTACTCGTAGAGCATCACGGTCACTCTGCACATGTATACTCACCCGTACATGCTCTGCGTGTTGATATTTAAAGAGAATTAAATATGTAAATATATAAATGTGAAAAAGAAGCCATGTTAAAGAAGAGAAGATTGAAGAGTCTGTAATATCACAAGTCACCTACACACATATACATCCTCTTATATATAATATATATATATATATATATATTATATACAGATATATAATATACATATATATAATATACATATATATAATATCTGTACTCTACGGGTCACTATCGAGAGATTCTATGCAATGATATAGCCACTTGCATGTGATATAATACTCCTTACCTACTCAGCTGACGATTTTTCTATTCTATTATTTTCCCCCCCCTTTCTTTCTTCCCCCTTGATCTCTTCTCATAGAATCATGTTACTCGTGTCACAATACCTTCAAGATTGTGCCCCGGCCCTGTGAGACGTAAGTTGTCACTTGTCAGACACGCCCGCTGAGAGAAGAATCTGAGACAGAAAATCACCCACACCCATGATAAGAGATCAACATGAAAATAAAACTTCTTTTTTTTTCTTCGTACGACCTGACTACCCTTTCCTTTTTCTTGGTTTTCGACATTTTCTCCAACTATCGTTTTTTTCTTCTTTTTTCCCCTCTTTTTTCTTCTTCTTCTCTTTACTCTTACTTCCCCGGAGCGTAGTGTATCACCGCATCACTCGACGCCTGCATATATGATACCCCACGACCTCCCCTCCCCCCGTATTCCAAATGGCAGCTAATCATCATCATCATCATAGCAGGTCTGCCGGACCATCCGTCATACACCACATCTCTTTCTCTTTCCCTTTTCCCCTTTCTTGCGAGTTCGAGTACATTGTGTGTGCACAACCGTGTTTCGCGATATGCAAGTTGTAAAAAAGGTTACTGTTTGTACGTGTTTGCATCAAACAGCCAAATACAACCGGAAGAAGGGATAATCCGGGACCGAGGTTGTTGCCTCAGGATGACTTTGGCAAACATACTCGCATACAAACATCACGATGAGAGTCATCCTAGAACAATACAACATATCGATCATCACAAACGCAAAGGCTCTTCCTGAAAGAAGGAGCTGATGCACCTGTGATATCGTGAGGTGACGAAAAAGGAAGAAAGACGAACCAACAGTTACGCTTCCCCTTCCTCCTCTTCTCTTATTTCCCTACAGTAATAGATGCCATCACCATATCTGCTCTACAGTAAAACATGATTCTTCGACTTCGAGAGGATATCACAAATTTACCAGCATAATATCATAGATACATTGGTTTTTTTTTTTTTTTTTTGGAAAACTCAGGAAAAAAATTCCATACCGACATCTCTCCATGGCAACTAACAGAGAATAACAAGAGTGAAAAAAACAGGAAGAAAAGAAAAGAAGAAAAGACAAACTCCCCCTCCCCCTCCCCCTTCCTTCTATATCGTTGACACTTCTCCCCTCTCTTCATACAATGGTAAAATAATGTCGAGCAGTATGCTTCATATCCTCGGTGGGTGGAAACAGAGAGAGACAGGGAATGACGAGGAAAAAAGAACGAGACATAAATAAAACAAAAACAAAAACAAAACAAAAATGGACAGATACTTAATCTACGCCTCCTCGTCACTATCCTCGCCGAGAAGCTCACCCTCATCATCGTCGACCACGGAGTAATCCCCCCTAGCCCGGGCGAACGAGTCCCTGGTCGTGAACCTCCTGAGCCCGCCGCCGCCGCCGCCGCTGAACCAGCTCTGCCGTCCGCCGTGGCCGCCGCCGGAGCTGCTGCCGCCGCCGCCGCCGCGCATCTTCTCGTACGATCCCCGGGCCATCCTCCAGAGGCTGCCCAGGAGCAGGGGGGTCGAGGCCGCCACCGCCGCCACCGCCGAGACGGCGATGACCGGGTATTTGACCCAGGGCCGGTCGCTGTCAAAGGTCGACTGGGCCGACGTCTCACCCAGCCGGATCTGTCCGAAGCTCCTGTTCCAGTTGCGGTAGACGTACCAGCCTATCGAGGCCGCCAGGCCCAGCGGCACCACCACCGCGAGCAGGATGGCCGCCCCGGACGTCCTGTGCTTCCTCCTGAACTCCTCCTCGTACCCGGCGCACGCGTGCTCCTCCGACGTCTTGTCCAGCTCGTTGCCGCCCACGCACGTCGACAGCGGCACCCTGCGGTAGCCCGTCGGCTCGAACCACGACGTCTCGTTGCCGTGCTCGGCGCACCAGTCCTTGCCCGACTGCGGCTCCAGGCCCGGCACGAGCCAGCACTGACCGTGGCTGTCGAGCTCGAAGTTGTAGGCGCTGCCGATGTGTCAGTGTGTCAGCGACGTCCACGGGAGAGAAGCAGCGCAGGATGGGATGGGCCAGGACGGGGAGGCGCTGTATACGTACCATTCGTAGTCCTGTCGGGTGCAGGCGCAGTTCTCGTACCCGTACAGCCTCTGGAGGTTCTGCTCGTTGTAGCACCTGGCCTCGGGCTTCCTGCGGAGGTACTTGGCAACGTGGCCGAACAGGCAGCCGTTCGCCTGGAGCGGGTGCTTGGGCGACCAGAGGTAGTAGTCCGACGCGGCCTCGTCGCCCTCGACCAGCTGGCAGGGGCGGTCGGCGAAGCCGCTGAAGTCGAGGTTGACCGCCATCGCCTTGCCGTCATCTGACCTGTACCACAGCAGGAAGTTGCGCGAGCTGCCGGTCCTGACCGTCGTGATGTCCAGTACCGTCACCTCCTCGTCGGTGAACTGGTAGTCGTGCCACGTGCGACCTTCGTCGAGCGAGTACGACACGGACCGCGTCTTGACCTTGTTCCTGGCCGTCGCGCGCTGCACCAGCACGATGATGGAGCCCTGGTCGCCGTACTGCCACGTCCAGTGTCCCTTCTTCACGCCGGCCCAGGAGATGCCGCCGTCGGTGGACATGAACGTGTCGGCCTCCTCGATGGGGCCGAGCTTGGATCCGACGTTGCCCACGCCGAACAGGAGGCCGACGGCCGTGCTCGCCGCAAACGTCCGCCGCTTGTCGTCGCGCTCCGTGTAGTGGTGCAGGTGCAGAGCGCACGACTTGTCGCCCGCCGACGACCGGCACCCGTACGCCTTGCCGTCCGCGTCCTTCTCGGGCGGCGCGAGATAGCCCCACTCGGCGCCGTCGTTGTGCGAGATCTTGGTCTGCAGCTCCTTCGTCTTGTCCTTCTTCTCGTCCGCGTTCGTCACCACGTTGATGAGCGTCACGCCCTCCAGCCCCGGCACCTTCTCGAAGTCGACAAACGTCTGATCGTCGCAGTTGACGTTGGCCGCGCTGAGGACGTACGACGTGCCGTTCGAGTTGCTCTTGACGATGGAGCCGTACTGGCGGTCCGCACCGGGCTCGCTCAGCACGAACAGGTTGACGGCGTGCGTCGAGCTGTCCAGCACCGTGTACTCGCCGGCGTGCTTCTCCTGGAAGCCGTGCGGGAAGTGCGCTGGCTCGAAGAGCTTGCCGTCCAGGCTGGAGTAGGCGCGGAGCTCGTCCGTCTCCGAGTCCCTGCCGGCCAGGACGATGAACTCGCTCATGGTGGCGAAGTCCATGACCTCGCCCCTGAACTCGGACCGGTCCTCCAGGAAGAAGTCGTTGCTGGTGACGATCGTCATGGGCGAGTCGACGCCCTCCTCCTCGTGGGCGTGGCAGACGATCTGCTTGGAGGGGCGGAACTTGAAGGCCGAGTGGCCGGTGAACTCGCACTTCCTGGCGGAGCGGACGATGGTCCTCCAGTTATCGCCGCGGTCGGTCGAGAGGGATGCATCCTGAGTGCACGAGTCGCCCTTCTCGTCGCACTGCTTGCCCACCCAGATCAGCCAATCCTTGTTGTCCGGGTGGAAGCTGAAGGGGAAGTCGCCGGGGTCCGTAGGCGCCTCGAAGCTGTGGAAGCTGCGGCCGCGGTCGATGGTGTAGTAGACCGTCTTGTCGTCGGTGGTGAAGAAGACGACCTCCTTGAAGCGTTGGTGATGGTGGATGCCCCTCACGCCCTTGCCTTCGAGGATGAGGTTCCAGCTCTTGCCGTGATCGTTGGTCATCCAGATGTCCTTGCCGACCTTGAAGCGGCCGTTACCCTCGTTCTCGGCGGGGCGGGCGATGACGGTCTCGTCGTCCACGGAGCTGGAACCGGCCTTTTCGAGATAGATCTTCTCGAAATCGTACAGGTTGGTGTCGAAGTTGAAGGGTTTGGACGAGGACACCTCGCCGTTGCTGGGGCTTCCGGGGCCGTCGGGGCTGCCGGGGTTGCCGGGGCCGCCGGGGCTGGAGCCCCCGTCGGTGCAGTTACGCTCGATCTCGCTGTCCTTCTGCTCGCCTTTGCCTCTCTTGCACGTATTGCCTGGGATGAGGCGCCAACCCGACGTGCCCTTGTAGGTGCCGCCCTTCCCGTCCTTGCAGACGCCATCCGGCTTGATGGCAGGACCGACCTGGTTGCATCTGCTGCTGTCGTCCAGGTCGCGTTGGAAGTTGTAGTCACACTCAAAGTCCTGGTCCGTGCATTCGCAATCCTCGATGATGGGAACTGGATCTCTGAAGCCGCTCATGATGAAGCACTCGGCGTCCTTCTTGCGTCGGCGGTACGTCTGCTTGTGCCCCATGACGCAGGTCGCCTTGCCGTCCTCGTCAACGCGGGCGTGCCAGTCCTCCATGTCGCTGTCCTTGCAGGTACGCTCGTGCAGGCCGTCAAAGTCGATGGAGACCATGTGGTAGGTGCCGCCGCTCTCGCCGAGGAGCAGGAACTTGGTGCTGGTAGAGTCCTGCGTCGTGGTGAGGATGTAGGGCTTGATCTTTACGTCGTTGGGGAACTTGACCTCCTTCCAGTCCTCGCCGTGGTTTAGGGAATAGGAGAACTTGTCGGCGGCCTCCTTCTCCTTGCTGCCCACGGCCACCAGGATCGATCCGGTGTCGCCGAACTCGTACTTGTGGGGTCCCTCCAAGGCCTTTGACCACGTCAACCCGGCGTCATCGGACACGTACAGGTCGGAATCGTCAAAGGCTCCAAGCTCCTTGCCCGTGTTTCCGTTGCCCATGACGATGCCGGGTGCGAGGCTGGAGAAGACCCTCCCGACGTTGTTCAGCTCCGTCGAAGAGTGTAGGTGGAGGGTGTCGTTGTCCTTGGTGAGCAGGGGCTCGAACGACCGGCCATCGTCAAAGGTGATTCTGGAGACAACCTCCTTCTCCTTTCCCGTCTCTACCTCATCGGGATTGTTGACGACGTTGACGAGATAGACGCCCTGGATGCCGGTGAGCTTCTCAAAGTCGACGTGGCCCCTCTCGTTGCGGTTCGTGTAGGGGACGTTCTCGGTAAAGTAGGTGCCGTTGGAGTTGCTGGTGAACAGGACGCCCATGGGGCGCGAGGGGTGCGACGTCATGACGTCCACCTGGATGCTATAGTTGGTGCCCTCGAGGATGGTGTAGGCATTTTGGTTGATCTGGTGAGAGTGGTCGTGGCTGTCGTCGGTAGGGAACATGGCTCGGTGCCAGCGGATGGAGTCATCGGAGACGTAGAGGGCCATCTCGTCGCTGTACAGCGATGCCGTGGCCACGAGGAGGTAACCCTTGACGATGCCCATGCTGATGACGCCATCGACGGCCTTGTCGGTGTCGAGGCTGGGCTCGAACTCGTCGATGCCGCCCTTGACCTCGGCAAAGAAGGAGTCGGAAATGTGCAGCCTCTGGTCCTCCTTGAAGCTGGAGAAGGGCTCCATGACGATGCACATGGTGCGCGACCTGTCCTTCTCATCGTCGCCGGTGGTGAATTCCCTGGACGACTTGGCCCACCAGCAGCCAGCAGTCAGGCCGCGCAGCAGCTCGACAGTCTTGAAGCCGTCGGTGGTGTATACAGACTCTTCGTTGCAGAAGATTCCCTCGCACCTCATCCCGTTGAGGATTATCCGGGCGGGGTCTCGGGCATGGAAGACGAGGGGCTCGGGCTGGAAAGCGCTCGGGGTGGTGCCGGCGTACAGCTTGGACCAGCTGTCGCCCCGGTCGGTTGTCTTGTACAGGTAGTTGCTCTCGGTCAGGACGAAGGCTGTCGTGGGCTCGAACTTGTGCATGACGAGGAGCATGGCCTCGCCACGTGGGATGTCACGGACCTGAGTCCAGCTGGCGCCAGCATCGTCGGAGCGGTAGATGCTGGCCTCTTCGACATCGTGGAAGACGACAACGTTGCTGTCCTCAAAGTAGCTGAGGCCGAGAGGCGGATGATCGAACTTGCTGATAGAAACCTTGGGTTCGTCCTTGGCGGCGACCAGGGCGAAGAACAGGGCCACGACGACCAGCACCGCCATCATCGGGGTGCGGCGCCACGAGGCCGAAGCCATGCCCCCGGACCTCATCGTTTCAGGCTGGAGGCAGGCGTGAAGCAAGCTGGAGTACCATGTGAAGGGGAGAAGAAAGGTACGAGCAGCGGGCGCGAACCGGGAGGCCGTACGGATGGATTCGTGTAGTTTTGTGGGTGTGAGATTGGGGCGCGTCACGATCTTACTATTGATTTGATGGGATGCAGAGTCCGGGTTTGGAAGAGAACTCTGTCCTAGAAGTTGACGAGACGAGACGAGACACGACAGCTTACGACACAGTTGCCGGCTCTCTCTGGGTGGCGGGCCCGAACACGCAACAGCTCTCGGGTGTGTGGCGCGCGAGCCGGCTGCGCCACGTTTCGGTCATGGCTACCCTGTAGCAGAGCAGTTCGCGAGCTGGGGATTTCATGACCAGCTGACTGGTCTAAGCTCGGTCGCATTGTGCAAGCCAGCGTAGATGGAGGTACAGGTACGAACTCGCGTCTCATACCAGTACGATGGTGTAGCAGGAGTAGGAATAGGCGTGGTACTTATCTGATACTAAAACGTATGCGTAGGCATGATTTGTGTGTGTGTGTGTGCTCTACTCGACTGTCACTACTAGTCTATCACTGTAATCATAGCATGATATTCGGAGTCAAGCGCATTGTAGATTGTGAGGGAGGGACTGCAGATTACTAGTCTAAAGGTACGGCCAGAGTTACCAGACATGGCAGCCGGCCCTCCCTGTAGGTCGCAGCACAGGTAATCTGTACAGGGACAGCGTACAGACCCTGAAGCGCCTTGGCTTCTGCTACCCCTGAACAGAGCAAGCACGCCAGCACCCTTTCATTTCCCTGCATCGTCTTCCCAATGCGATAGATCTGATGGTATCCGTAGCCTGCACGATAAGCAGCATCTTACGCAGAGCCCATTTTTATTTATCTGTTTATTTCATATTTCATTTTTTTTTCTTTTTGCCAATCGTAAGGAGTCATCAACAGGCTCCAACATGATCCCATTCCGGCATGCTCGAGGCATCCAGATCAGCACATGTGGCACGGCGTACAGGTCACATGGGGTAGCAGTCGACATCCAGGCTGCAGCAGCTCCGTGAAGACAGCTGCATCGTGAGTGCCTGGCATTAGCGCCTGCAAGCGATCAAACCGTGCTGTTGTTCGCCTGTAGCCTGTAATGATAGCCTGTGCCTGTGGCCTGTACCCGTACTCCGTACATATATACACATAGGCGGCGGCAGGTACAGGGGGCATCCACTCTGAGGCCATTCTGGTTCTCGGCCGTGACACTGCGCCGGGGTATCAAGACTCCGGGGATATTAAGACCAACACCCGCTCTATACGAAGATTCATGCACTGCCTTCCTACCAATATCGGCAACTGATACTGGCTAGTATCCATGCTGCTAACCTGATCTGGTAGAACGGATGCTGCTGTATTCGCTCGCTACGACGTAAGGAATAGGCATTCATCCATCCTCTGGTACATATTCGTAGTAGCTGCCCTTAGCGGCTGTTTAGCGGTCGTTTTGAGATTTCCAGCGGCCCCTTCCACCTCTGAGAACGACAAAGCGTTGGTGGCTGCCCCTCCCCAGAAACTCCACGTGCCGTCGTCCGTGTCATTGTTTGTTTTGTCTGGACGGTAATTATTGCCCTGCAGGTTCCGAGCAACACGCTCCCTTTATTTTCTCTATCAGCCGTCTCGCCTTCCTTATCCTGTCTCTCCTCGGTTTCTCCTTCGTTTCCCTATTCGGCTTGCGTGTCTCTTCAATCCTTTCCGCACCTGCCCTTCCTGTGCCGCCTCTCTCTCTCTCTCTCTGTCAGCCCCCCTCCATCACCACCTTCGTCCTTCGTTCGCGCACGCACATACGCTCATTTTCCTCGCCGCCATCCGTCGCCATGGCTGCCATCTATCAGCAGTTCCTGGCCTCGCCCAGCCTGTCAGCGCTGGCCGACAAGGCTGCGCTGCACTACCTCCCCACCACGACCACCATCTCCGGCGCCGAGGAGATTGTCAAGCATTTCGAGGGTCTTCGCAAGCACCTCAAGAAGAACGAGAATGTCCTCAGCGCCGTCGACGGTCAGACTTCGGCTGCCTTTGAGACCGATACGAACCTCGAGTTTCTCATCAGTGGCGGTCCTTACCTGCCTGGTCTTGACGACAACTTCATCGCCGACCGTGCCGTGTCTCTTCCTATTGTAAGCCTGTTTGCTCACACATACCGCTGTGCCTCGTTTCGATCGCTCTGCTCACCCGCTTGTTCTCGCAGTACCACTTTGTCTCACTCTCCGACGACGGCAAGATCTCGCAGATTCGCCTGTCTTGGGACCAGGCGTCCCTCCTCAGGCAGCTCGACGTCATCGGCAAGACTGGCCGCAACTGGCCGATCCGGGATTGCAAGGAGCAGATTACTCTGATCCAATGGTCCGTCAAGGCTGCAGGCACCGGCGCTGGTACTGCCTCGACCACCGACAACCTCCCCAACCGTTCGCGAGGCGCTTCCCACGCCACCCGCGATCCCCACACCACGCTGCATATGCAGCCCACCAGGGAGGAGCTCGAGAACGCCGTTAGGGAGTCTGTCGTCACTCCCTACGCCGGAAAGAACAGGCCCCAGCAGCGACGCTTCGAGGACATCCTCGGAGACTCACCCGACGGCCAGAACTTTGATCCTCGCCAGCTGGCCTCTCCCGCAAAGGCTGGCCAGGGCAGAAATCACCAGCCGATGCGCATCTTCGATGGCCAGGAGGACCATGACCAGGGGGACTCGCCCAAGGCCCGCCCCACCAGCCAGTTCATACGCCACCCCAACCCCCACAAGTACGATCACTTTGACTTTGTCGACGGTTCCGACCCTTCGGATGCCCCCAAGGCTGGCGTGTCGGTCGAGAACAAGCCCAAGAGCAAGCACGACAGCCAGTGGTCGTTTGACGATTTCGACACCCCCGTCAAGCACAAGCCCTCCAAGGCCATCCGCCATCAGGATGTCCGCCATTGGGGAACCGACTCTGAGTCACCGGCCAATAATATGCAGGAGCCGACTCAACTCACCGCCAAGGGCCGCCGCGATGCGGAGGCCCACTTTGAACTGCAAGATGACGGTGAGCAGGTGCCCCGCCAGGAGCGCCGCCCCAAGGGGGCGGTACAAAACGAGGCCATGGGCCTCTACAAAAACAAGCTCTTTGACCAGGACTCTCCCGAAACCCCATCGGAACGCACCCTCAGCAACATCACCAACCTCAGCCACCGCGGAAAGGACTTTGACGCCCACTGGGAAATCCGTGACGAATCCCCGATGCAGAAGGAGAACGACGCCCGCTTTAGCGGGAACCACGAGTCTGGCCGCATCCACATTGCCGGTGATGGCATGGGCGGCAAGAAGGGCACCAACCGCGACTGGCTGTACGGAGATGACGGCAACGACGCGCCTACACGGAAGCCTACTAGCCACGGCAAGGACTTCCAGTCCCAGTGGGAGTTTGGAGGCGAGGAGGAGGCGCCCAAGCCCGTCAGGAAGAGCGAGCAAGACCGCACCACCGACACCCAGAGCAGCGGACGCATCCACATCGCCGGCGACGGCATGGGCGGCAAGAAGGGCACCAACCGCGACTGGCTGTACGGAGACGGCGGCGACGATGCGCCCGCGCGGAAGCCTACTAGCCACGGCAAGGATTTCCAGTCCCAGTGGGAGCTCGGGGGCGAGGAGGAGGCGCCCAAGCCCGTCAAGAAGAGCGAGCAGGACCGCACCACCGACACCCAGAGCAGCGGACGCATYCACATCGCCGGCGACGGCATGGGTGGGAAGAAGGGCACCAACCGCGACTGGCTGTACGGAGGCGGTGAGGAAGAGACGCCCAAGCCCGCCCCCACCAAGCATCGTCTCGCCACGCAGAGTAGTCTCTGGGACCAGTAGAAACACAAAAGGAGAATGTCTGTCTTTACCAACGAGATGACAGTTGGAAGATGAGAAGAAATCGTCTGTCATGTATGTGCAGAAGGGATTGGGGAAGAAAAAAAAGAAGAGAACAGGTGTCTGTCTCCTTTCTCTCTCTTTCTACTCTGTTTTGGTGAAACTGTTGGGCCGAAAGATGGCAAGAATGTTATACGCCTACGACTTGATGAGCACCGCCCTCTTTTCCCCTTTTCTTCTTGTGTATTCTTCTCTCGTCTCATCTACAAATACGGGTTTTTTAGTTTTCTCTCTCTTCTACTTGACATGGGTCCTCTATTGGCTGGTGCAGAGTGATTGTGGATGATTACCCTTGGAAGACGGTCGACCCTAGTGAAGCCTAGTAGTGATATTACTACGTTTGTTGGTACGGATAATACTACGCTACTATGCAGGCTGATCACGTTGATTACTAATACCCACCACTGGCAGTGCTAGCAGTGCCAGTTTGGAGAGAATCCACTCGGTCAAGATGAAGAAGTTGAATATAATCAAGTTTATACTCGTTGTAAGCAACTACGTACATGATTTTGTGAAGAAAATATACATACAGGTAGAATATCAGAAGAAAAGAAACAAGTAATACACCACACACCTAGCGACCGAGAGAAAAGAAAGGAAAAGAAGAAGAAAAGGAATAAATAACCTATTCCAGAAATGACCGATTGCGCCCGAGTTCCATCATGATCATCATTTCATACCCGCGTATCCCACCCAGAGCCTTTGAGGTTTTTTTTTTTTTTGGTTTGTTGTTGGACACGGGGGAAAAAAACAGAAACAAGGAGGAAAAAAAAGGTGAAGAAGAAGAAAAGAAGAAATAAAAAAAGAGGAGAACAGACCTAACAGATGAACTTGTACCACTTCTTCCATCGTGGCCACGTAGCCTGCTCTCTACGTTCATGGGCCTTGATGACAGGCATGTTGAAGTAGCGCCTTCCGGTGTCGATGTCCATGTCGCGCACGCGGACGTACTGGGTGCGGTAGAAGATCTTGTGGGCGGCGTAGAAGATGAGGACGATGGGGGCGCCGAGGCACTTGAGGAAGAAGCTGCGGACGATGTCGGTGGACGACAGGTGGTCCCCGCCGTGGCTGTCGTAGTCGCCCTGGCGGATGGGGTCTGCGCCTACCCAGAACTGGGCGGCCAGGACGCACAGGTTCATGGCCAGGCCGGCGTAGGACCCGGCGACGCCGACGGGCGAGCGGAAGGGGAGGTCGTCGGCCGAGTGGCCGCGGGCGGCCCAGGCGCGGCGGAAGCGGATGTGGCACAGGCAGATGGACCCCCAGGTGAAGATGGACGAGAGGCCCGATATGGCGAGGAGCCAGTCCAGCACGTCGTTCTGGGCCGGCAGGTCGGCCAGGTACGACAGGAGGCCGACGGCGGCGGCGAGGCCGATGGCCACGAGGGGCCGGCCGCGGCGGTCGATGTAGCCGAGCACGCGGGGTGCCTGGTTCAGGTTGGCCAGGGCGGCCAGGGTGCGCGACGACCCGAAGACGGCCGAGTTGCCCACCGACAGCACGGCGATGAGTATCACCGTGTTCATGACCGACGGGAGCACCTGGATGCCCGCCTGCTCGATGGCGATGACGAACGGCGACGCGTTGGCGTCCGCCTCGGCCGACCCGCCCACCAGCCTCGGCTCGTCGTACGGCACCAGCAGGCCCACGAGGGTCAGCGCCACCACGTAGAAGAGCGTGATGCGCCAGAAGACCTGCTTGATGGCGGTGGGGAGCGACTTGCGCGGGTTGGCCGTCTCCGCCGCCGCCAGACCCACCAGCTCCGTGCCCGTGAACGAGAAGGCGGCCGTCACGAAGACGTTGCACAGCCCCTTGAAGCCGTTGTTGAAGGCGCCCGGGCTCTGCCAGTACTCCCCGCCGATGTAACCGCTGTCCGGGGTGCCGCCGCAGTTGAGGACGATGCCGAGAAGGCTATCGGACGAGCCAGTCGGACGAGTCAGCAGCCGAACGGGGATGGGAGAGTGGGAGAGGGAAGGGAGAGGGCGACGTACATGAAGCTTATGACGGCAACGACCTTGATGATGGAAAAGATGAACTCGGCCTCACCGTATCCCTTGATACCGAACATGTTGATGACAAGAATGACGGAGAGGAAGACGGTGACGAAGATGGCCCTGGTCAGGTCGCTGTCCCAGTAGCCGATGGTGACGGACGCGGCGATGACTTCGAGGGGGAGGATGATGAGCCACTGCATGGCGTAGCTGGAGAGACGGTGGGTAGAGCGGTCAGCATCATCCCTCGCTGCTCTCTGCCCTCTCCCGGATCTCTCGAGGAGGGAGAGGAGAGGGGCCGACTTACTTCCAACCCATGGCAAAGCCCCAAGACGGATCCAAGAACCTCGTGGCCCACGAGGAAAACGACCCGGCAATGGGGAAGAGGACGGCCAGCTCCCCGAGAGCCTGGCACGTGGTGTACAGCATGACGCCGACGAGCGAGAAGGCGAGGAGCAGGGATGCCGGCCCCCCCGCAGCCAGGGCCTTGCCCGAGGCAACGAACAAGCCGGTGCCTATCGAACCCCCGATGGCGATCATCTGGAGGTGGCGGCCCTTGAGCTTCCTGACGAGCGTGGAGTTTGCATTCTCTATGGCGGCCTGCCGCAGGTCGTAGTAGTGGTTCCCGTCCTGGTCGCGGCCGGTGACGGCGGCCGACTCGAGCTGTCCCAGGTGGTCGTGGGGGAAGAATGTGGCGGGGTGGCGGCGGAAGCTGTCGAAGAAGCGGTCCAGACGGCTGGTGAGGATGACGTCGTTCTCGTACTCGGGCTCGCGCATGCTGAAGGAGCTTCCCTGAGCCAGAGAGTCTTCCTTGGCCTTGAGGGTGGTCATTTCGATGTCCTGTGGAGGCGCCATGACGAAAGCCCCGGGGTCATGTCCCCTCTTCTCCGGCTACACTGTCTCGTCTCTGCTGCTCTCCTCTCCTCTTTTTCTTCTTCTCCTATTCTTTGCGATCGTTCGACGGGCCGTGCCGTGATGGGATGGGAAGGTGATGATTGATTATGATCTGGGTGGTGTGCGTGTGTGTTTATCGACGGTCGCAGCTGAGGCGTCACGTCACATGCCGACTGATAAGGGACGAGAAGGAGACAGAGAGGGAGAGAGGGAGAGAGGGGGGAGGAGGGATGAGGGATATGGCCAAGAGAAGGTGAGGATGGCGAGAGAGAGGTGGGATGCGGATGCTGAAACAACACGAGAAATGGACACGCGATCACACGAGAATAGAGAGAGGCAGAATGAGGGAGGGAGAGGGAGAGGGAGAGAGAAGATGACTATTGCTGGTACGAGGAGAGGAGTCGGTGGTGCTAGAATGTGTACGGCAGGACAAGAGGTACATGCTCGCACTCGTACTATAGTATCATTGATCAAACAGCTGGGGGTGGCTCCGAGTGGGCGGAAGTGTGGGGGTTGCAAGAGTGGAGATGCTTATCATGGTCCCGTTCATCACGATTCAGTTTAAAATCTTTACTGGCAATGGCAGGTTCTCTGGGCGTCCCAGAGTCTAGAGTCTACAGACTCCGGAGTCCGTACAGATTACTGATTACATATTGTAGGGGTCTAGGAATAGATACTCCGTACTAGCGACTACTCGTAACACTAATACTTGTTGGGGCCAGGACTCTAGCGATAATCAATAGTAGTGCTAGGATGTACCAGATTACCTTTGTACCTGGTATCATGATCATGCTCCCTCCTCCCTACGCCCGATTCATCCAAATATCTGTCTCGGCTGGGTACTATTACTAGATAGGTAGGTGACTATGAAACCGTTGAACGATTGAGTCGACCGCAGTCTGTATCACGACCGATGCTGCAGCCAGCCTACTGCTGTCACTCCAATTTAGACGGCGACATGTCTACGGAGCATTACCCGTATCATCCTTGACATCCTTGGGCCTTGGGCCTTGGGTTCTACAGCCTGCAGGACTAATGACTGCCCCCCGCCCCCTACGTGCTGTCCGAGCATACTCCCGGCTTGTGGGAGCACCGGAGCGCTCATCTCATACTTCTCATACTCCGTACTATTGGCCTCCTATTATTGGTGGGTTGGTCCCACCTGTTAGGTGCTGACTGTACTCGTAGTCATACTCTTTCTTCCTCTGTAAGTTACTGTATAGTAATGTACTCCGTACAGATTACACACTCGTACGCTCAGCTAGTCTCTCCCTACATAGTGTCGATGGCCTGAGGCCACAAAGTCACGTGTTTCGGTCGACACTCGTTTTTCTCTCCATCTCACATCCGTGTGTACTCAGCAGTTGAGATGGATCGTCATCACCTTCATTTTCCTCTTGTGTGCCCCCCTTTTGGGTGCCCAATCTGATTGTATTGATGCACATCGCTCTCTGCGTCCTATCGAGGCCTGAGAGCCACCCTGACACCTGATGACTGACTGATATGTTTGTCCGTCTGTCTCTCGCACCGTCCATCATCGTCTTGTCGTCTTGCCTTCTTGCGGTCCTAACCCGCGCGCGTGTGCCATCGCTATATACTACCAGTATAGATCTACGTATATAATATCCACGCACTCGTTCACATCTAATCCACGCGCACTCGTACGGCAGACTGCCTCTCTTGCGTCATTCAACATTCAACATTCAGGTCCTCCCTGTTCAGATCCCGTCCCCTTCTCCCGTAACCGCAACGCTTCCGTCATAGCATTCGGACCAGCCTTCGATGCACGGTTCAGTACTCCTATTTCCGTCCATGCCTAAGCATGCGACAGACGTCGGCATCGAGAAGCGTCCAGCTCCTGACTGGCCGATGCTATGAACCTCCCGAGTTTCTTGCATAGTCACGAGCCTACAGGGAGACCATGCTCTTTCACGGGTAGATGCGGAGGGCTCGTTTACTCTGGCATCTGGAACATCCCCAGTCTATGCAGAAGCTTCGAACGGCCCGATGCCTGCGTCAGTCCACTCCCTCATCCCCCGCATGTTGATCATGCCCATGTGCATTGCATACAGGTACCACGTAATCTGCATACATACATACACTGATACGTCAATCTCGACGGCGACATACTATACTACCAATAGCATCCAGCAAAAACACATCATCCTCTGGCATAGCACGGGAATTATACAGCCCTGATGTTTGTCTACACACCCAGCGTGATGCTTCGGAGTCTATTTCTGTCACCAGGGGCCAAGCCTGTCATGGCCTCTCGCTTACGCCTCCGAGTCAGAGTATACCGGAAGAAGGATAAAAAGGAGAGGCCTCTGTTTACACCCGATGCTCAGGTATAGATAAAGCACCGTGCATCGTTTCCTCCCTCAGATCTCTTGTCCTCTTCTTCATCCCTTTTCGGTCTTTGCCGTGTTGCCGCTCCTTCTCGAGATATCGTCGCTTCAAGCATTGTTGCTTCAAGCCATCATCACTCGACACCTTCTACGCCTACAGGCCGCTTCTGCTGCAATTTATCACTTCCACGAGCTGTTACTGCCACAAGCTATCACTCCTGCAGGCTGTTGCCTTTATAAGCTGTCACTTCTACAAGCTGCTATTTCTCCCATCCGTCACTTCTGCAAGCCATTGTTACCGCAAAGCTATAGTCACTACGAGCCGCGTCCCCCCCCAATCCTCACCATGGCTCCCATCGACAACGATCTGTATGACTATCCCCGGCCCCGGCCCGGCGCCCTTCACCCCGGGGACAGCTGCATCGACCTGTCTAGCGAGCTGAACAGGTCATATCCCGACGCCGGCCTGTCGATGCTGCTGGGCACGCTGGGCGTCCAGCCCTATGGGCTGGGTAATGTGTGCCCGGAGACGCAGGTCCACGATGTGGTCATCGTCAGCCTGGAGATGATGGCCTGCCCGCGGAACCCGTCCAACATCATCATGGGCATATCCACCATGGACCTGAGGCGCATCCACCAGCTCGTCCTGACGGGGGACCTCAAGTCATCCAGGAGGTTCCCGGCCCCGATCATCTCGCACATGTACTACCTCTCGGACGAGGGGTCGGGCACCACCACCCCGCGTCCGCCCCCCTCGTCGCAGTTCTGCGAACGCTTCTGCACCGGAGTCGAGTCAACCGTGGACCTGGGCGCCCTGGACCGCATACTGGACGATGTCGTCGACCAGGGCCGCGACTACATCCTCGTCACGTCCACACCGGCGGCTGAGGCCGAGGCCAGCAACTACTTGGACCACATCACCTCCCGTGACTCCAGGAAGCCCCTCGCCGTCCTCTGCGTCGGCAGCATGGCGCCCCTCCTCAGATTCCCGGACCCAGCACTCGGCCCGGCCCTCACGAGCGCCCTAAACACCGCCGACATCTACCGCCACACCGAGCTCGGCTACATGGCCCTCCGCATGGCCCTGCACACTCTCAGGGTCCCTCACCTGGACGAGTTTAATCCGGGGGACCTGTCCGGCTACGTCATCCGCGCCCTCCTCAGTATCGTGGTCCGCTGCTGCTCGCCCGAGACGACGAGAGGCCCCGGATATCCCGGCGCCCCTGGCGAGCCGACCCCCGTGGTCCTCCAGATCATCTCCATGATTGCTCACCACAGCCCATTCGTGGCCCGCGACGGGCTGAACAACAGCTGGTGGGCGGTGGATGGAACCAAGCTCCCCAGCGGCCACGATGGAGACTTTGACGGCGCAGACCGCCGCCCTGCCGATCAGCTCTGGCCCGACGAGCACGACTACGATGACCCCCAGCTCGAGTCTCGATGGCCGTCTGCACATGATACTTCCGGCAGCGGCTACAGCCCTGATGCCTATGAACCTCCCGTCCCTGACGTCATTAGCCGACGGGAGGAGCGGAGGCAAGAGCAGGAGCAGGAGCAGGAGCGGGAGGACCACAGCCAGTCCATTCCTGGCCAACAAGTCCCAGACACCGAAGTCGACGCGGAAGAGCCTGATTCTGGACATGAGCACGGAGGCGATAGCCACGGCCCGACCTATCCCGAGGCCGCCGTCAATCACGACCCCCTGTACTTCCATCCTAACCGTTTCCTGCGCAGGGCTAATGCCGAGGCCGAGGGGAGTGCTGCTCGCCAAGACACAGAGACCATTACTGCTGGCGAGGTCGCAAATATCCCCACTACCTTCGACCCCACCGACATGGTCTACGCGTGGTGCATGCATTACTACAGAGTACTGGGCGGCCCCATGCTCAGATGGAGTCACTTCCACGTCGATGCTGTTTCTCGCAGCTATCCCGGCGTTGGCACTGCCGGATACCATGCTTCCAACGGCATCTTTACTTCTGTTCGAGACCAGCCCCAAGAGGAGGGCTCCGGAGAGGACGTTGCCGACCTTGAAGAAGATTCTGAACAAGACTTCGAAGAAGGCTCTAGCGAGGTCGACGAGAACGGCTACATCCTCAGAAGCTCTCTGCCCCTCTACCAGCAGCACCACACCGACGTGGCCGCGCTTCCGCCACGGCTATCACCGCCAACGCCATTCAACGACGACGACAGCAGCAATGGCAGCTCCACGGCCCCCGGTCAAGATCATGATCATGGCCAGGGCCAGGGCCAGGGCCGAGGTCAGAGAGAGCCCTACCGCCACCCGGCAACACCAAACGGCTGGGTCCACATCGCCACCAAGAGGACCCTCACCAGCCCCCAGGGGTACTACTCCATCTTCACGGACTGGGACTACGACGGTCTGACCGAGGTAGGCTGGTCCCACACCGACATGCACTCCACCCTCGCCTCCGACCTGGAACACCGCAGCCCCCCCTTCACCCCCGGGGGGGACGCGCTGTTCCTCACCAACAACTCTGTCATGACATCGGTCGTCGACGGCGTCGTCATGTACTTTACCGGCATCAACCGGGGTCCCAACCCTACTGCCGTTGCTGCCACGAATACTGTCCAGGCTGGTACTGCCAACGCCGAGTTCGCCGCCGCCGCCGCCGCCGCCGCCACGAATGCTGCTGCTAATGCCGACGACGATGCTGATGCTGACGCTGATGCTGTCGTGGCTGCTGTCCTGTTCGATGGCGAAGTTGATAGCGAGGAGAATGTTGATGTTCCTCCCGCGGGTGGCAGGTTCTCAGAGTATGACATCCCACCGGGTCTGTGGCCCCGACGGGCAATTACGCCTCCTCCCATGCGTCAGTACTTTCCTCGTTTGTGAGGGTAAATCATTCACCATGTATATTTGGGAAGGGAGAAGGGCAAGAAAAAGTAAGATGTGGAAAAAAAAGGGGAGGGGGGAGGGTACAGGGAAAAGGAGGCTGGATTAGATTGTGATGGAAAAACATATATGCTCAATTATAGAGCAGTTATCAGATGGTCAGATGGTTTGGATATCACTTTGAGAGACTGGGAATTTGCGTGTTGATATTCATTACCAAACTCGAACCGTATGGCCAAATGATAAGGATAAAAAAAAGGAGAAAAACAGAGAGTGTATCAAAAAAAAAAGCGACCGCCAACTTATCAATACAATGACTAATTTCGACATGTTTGACATTCACTGTTCACGTTGGTATAATGATCTATGATGATGATATTTTCGTTTTGAAAAAAAAAGAAAAGAAAAAAAGGAGCAGTGCCAGTGCCCGTAGCGATATTACATGTGAATTGAACAAGATAAGGCTTCTACAGTTTTCTTTTTTTTTAAAAAAAAATAGCCAAAATGCATACACGCATGAAATCTTCTCCTCCCTCGTACAGTCAAGAGTCATACCGCTAGAGAATTGGGACTTAGTTCTCTCCCGTCGTTGTCGTCGTCGTCGTTGTCGTCGTCGTCATGGTCTTTTCCGCCTCGATGATGTTACCATCGCTGTCCCTCGGTTTACGCTGCCATCCCGTGGAGAAGAGTTGACCCATGTCGAATCGGGGGAAGACGTGGGCTTCCGTATTGAGAACCACCTTGTCTAGTGGGAGGAGGTCGTCTGGTGAGAAGAGGAGGTAGAGGTATTTCAATGTTTCGGCCTGATATCACGGGAAGTTAGCCTTCTATGGGGAGGAGAAGAAACGGGAAGAAGAGGGGAAGAGAGGGGGAGAAGAGAGGAGAAAAGAGAAGAAAAAATAGAAGAAAAAAAAAGGATTGCATACCAGCCAGAAACTCTCCATGTTGTCCTTCACCTTGGGAGGAATAACATTGGCATCTGACAAGCTCGTGAAGCCGCCGTTCTCCCCCACGGCCGTGTACTGGATGAACGACTTGAACATCTCCCAACCCCACTCGCGGTACTTGACATCACCCGTGATCCTCCACATGTAGAACAGGCTCTCGGCCGTCTCGGGCCTCTGGAGGTTGTGCACGTCGTTGGGCTTGACCCTGTAGTCGCTGCGCCAGGGAGCCTCGGGGGTCTGGTCGTCAAAGATCGAGTCGCTCGGGGGCCGGCGGCGCTGCGACGAGGCCGGGGACGGCGGCGGGTCGGCAACGTCAAAGTAGGCAATCTCCGGGGCCAGCCCCGTGGCCATGTACTTGTACATACCCCAGCAGGTCTGGGTGAGCTCCCTGGCCAGCTGCATGTCGGCCTCGTCCTTCTCCGACCAGGTGGGCAGCTTGCGGGCCTCGGCCTCGGTGAGGCCGCCCGTGGCGGCGAGCGCGATGGTCCCGGGGAGGAAGCACACCAGGTGGTCCATCTTGGGGGACAGCTCGCCGGCCAGGCCGTCGGGCCGCTCGCCGACGATGGCCAGCTCGGCGCCGCGCGTGTAGGTGACGAGGTGCTTGCGGATGCCGTCCATGGACTCGCGCCACATGTCCTGGTACACGGGCTCGGCCTTGTTGGTCTGCAGGTACTGCTTGATGAGGTACTCGTAGTACGAGTCGCCGCGGCTGCCCAGGCGGATGTTGCGGCCCCTGAACTCGCCGCTGTCGGGGTGGATGAAGATGGGCACCAGCCCGTCGGCGGCGTTCTGGCCGTCCACCACCTCCATGACCTTGACGGCTGCGTCCCAGAAGGCCTTCTCGCCCGTCAGCTTGGCCAGGTACTTGAACTCGAGCTGCACGCTCGTCGCCTCGGCCGTCGACGCCGCACCCCCGTCCGCGTGCGACAGGATACCCTTGCCGTCGGCCAGGTTGATGCTCGAGTAGGGGATGCCGCTGGGGGAGTCAAACGCCCCCAGCAGCCGGTCCGCCAGATCCTTGCCCTTCTCCAGATACAGGTCCTCGCCGGGGGCGCCCGGATCGTCGTCGGTCAGCGGCGCCATGTCCGGGAATTCGTTGGACAGGTAGTGTGCCGTCAGGAGTCCGCCCAGCATGCGAATCGTCGTCTCGAAGGTGCTGACGTCCTGGTCCTGATCCCACGTCAGCTTGGTCGAGATCCATTCGCGTGCGCTCCGCAGCCGGGTCGTCTGGTTCATCAGCATCATGGTGTCGAGCGAATCGATGATGATCCACCCCATGCCGCGGGGTGCCATGTTCCTGCCCGTCCGGGTGACCGGGTGGAACTCGTCGTTTCCTGAGCGAACACACAAGCCGTCAGTCTCGCCCATGCCGTGCTCGGTTGCCGGGCCGCGCGCGATACTTACCGAATGCATAGCGCTCATAAGCATCCCAGCTGACCTCGAAAGCCTCGACGACCCGCTGCCGCCTGTCATCCCAGTCGGCGCTGGACGAGAGGGCCGCCCACGACGACCACGAAGGTTTCCCGGAGCTTCCCCGGAGCCTGCCCTCCGAGGACTCTTCCGAGAAGAAGCCGAAGAGGTAGAGGACTGAGACGAAGGTGAAGACCAGGGACCCGAGTATCCTCTTCTTCCTCCACCAGGACCTGTTCCTGCGCGACGGCACGTGCGAGTACGGCTTGTCCTTGTACATGGGCAGCGACTCCTGGTCAAACATGCCCGTCACACGATCCTGCACCTTGGCGCCGGCCCCCCGAAGCGCCGACCAGGCCGAGTCCTCGAGGTCCCGGCCTTCGCCAGAAAAGTTGGGCAAGTTCCTGGGTACGGAGAAGGACGACATGTTGTCGAGAGCATCGGCGCCGGCCTGGGTAGCCTGGTTGGCGGCCTGTGTTGCAGCCTGCGTTGCCTGCTGGGCGGCCACGGTAGCCGCTTCTCGTATGTTCTGGACCGCACGGCTGGCTGTCGTCCTGAGGATGTTGTTTCTGTGGATGTCGAACGGGTCGCGAATCATTGGGCAGGTCGGTTCATGACCGGGGAGGAGAAGGGAGGGAGGAAGAGGTATATACGTCAGGAGTTTAAAAAAGAATGCTGGCCTCTCTCTACGGCGGACTGAAGACTGAAGGCTGTGGGGGGGGAAAGCAGCTACCGTGGAGTTTGTTCAGGCGTCTCGAGACAAGAGCAAGAAGAAGCCACCTAAGGACTATTCGAGGAAGACGATGTCACCGTTACGGGTTTAGGTATGATTATTACCTGGGATCTTTCGTGCTTTTTTTCTTCTTCATCTTTTTATTTATTTATAGAAGCAGCAGCAGCAGCAAGCATATATTAGTATGACATGTATTACTACTAGCAGCTATTACCACTACAAGCGTAGCACCAGTGCACCGCTGAGAAGCTCCAGGTCCCCCCGGCTGCTGCCTGTACTCGTACGCGGTACGGGCGACTCAGCTGCCTGAAATTAAACCAACGTGTCCCCTGCGGGCCACAGCTATATTACGCAGCAGCAATGCACTCCCGGCGTTCTTGGCGCTATTACCGAAGGGTCCGGGCCCTGTAGCGTTCCCAGCGTCTCCCTCTTCAGGGGATCACCGTCCCTACCGGATACGGTACAGTTGGCCTACGGCTGGTGTGGCCCTATAGGCTATGGGCTGGGCACGTCCGACCTGATATGGAACCGATGGATTCGTAATGCTCCTCCATGTACGTACATGTAATCTGTATACGTTCCGTTCCCATACGCATCACTCGCTGCTTTCCCCCCCACGAAGTGTGCCCCTCTACGCATGGATTGCTCGCCCAATACCTGTACCACCACAGAAGAATTATATATATATACAAATATATATATACGCATACATATATATATTCACACATATATATATATATATAAACTCGTCACACCGCAAGCAGCTAGTGAGCACCTCTAGCTGTGGTGGGCCGACCTTTCCATCTCATACCTCTCTCCCGGTACCGAGGCCAGAGCCTTCCTGCCTGGCATGGACTTTGCCAGCTTCCCCTCCCTGACGGGCGAGGAGTTCGAAGAGACGTGCCATCACCTCGACAGCAGATACCGGCGTGCCACGTTGGGCAACCTCCGGTCCCGCTGGAAGCTGCAGCTCCGCACGGCACTCAGCTCAAACTTTAGCTTCTTCGACATGCCCCGGACGTATATCGAGATCACCAGGATCCTAGACCCGGATCAGCAGGACCTTGGCCTCGATTTCGATGCGCTGGCTATATCCGGCAAGGCCAACACTGATGACCGGTGGCTCGCTGCGGACGACGCCATGATGGAGGACGAGGCGTCCGATGAGGTAGATGTTCTCGGGGAGCTTCCTCTTCTCTTTCCCCTTTCTGATTTCTCTATTCCGTTTCCTCTCTCCTACTTGTCTACCGCTATCTGACAAGCCGACCTAGGCGGCCCTGAGGAAACCCGTACGGACGAGAGACTACGGCGTAGTGACATATGAGATCATGCTCCATCCCACATATCGGATGCCTTGTCTGTACTTCCACTTTGAGGGGCTTCCCGATGACGAGTCTCCCTTTGACCTACACACGGTCTTTCGTCGTCTCGTTCCGGACGCGTACAAGGAGGGGCTCCGCGCCTATGGTGGCGTGGGTGGCATTTCCATCGATGTGAGTTGCCTCCTCGCCCCTCCCACAAACAAAGGTGCCACCACGAGGACGGATGGGCGTAGGTGACTGACTTCTTCTTCCTCTTCTTCTTCTTCTTCTTCTTTTCTTGGTCTCGCAGCATCACCCCATCCACGGGAAGCCCTGCTTCTTTGTCCACCCGTGTTTGACGGGCGACAACATGTCTGCGTTTCAATGCTCGCGAGAGGACTACCTCACCATATGGATCGGCTTGACAGGTTCCTGCGTAGGACTTTCGGTCCCAAAGGAGATGATGCTGGTCCGGTAGGCGGCAGCGGTGATATCTTTTTTTTTTTTTTTTTGCTCTCGAAAGTCGCGCTAGACCGGAAACAATGGCCCGGAGGCCGGCGTGCTGCTTATCTCGTTTGACGGGTGCTTGATTCTATTCGTCATCGCTGTCTTCATCCATGGCCACATCCCCGTCGCTGTCCTCCTCCTCCCCCTCGGAGTCACGCGTCCTCTTGTGACCACGAGCATCATCTCCGGAGTCCTTCATGGCCTGGTCGGTAGATGCGGCAGGCTTGGAAGGCAGACCGCCGCCGCCGGCCGCCTTCGCAGCGCCTGGAGGCGGTGCGTTGAAGATGCTCTGCTGGAGCTCCGTCTGCTCCACCTCGGCGGCTCCTGTTCCCATGTTGGGAATCTTGAAGGTACCGTCGAGTTTGGAGACGAAGAGCGACTTGCCCTTGGCGTACTGGATCTTCTGCGTGCCGGCAAGATTTTGGCGTTAGTGGGCGATCAGATCATGATAGAGGCGGGGTCTGGAGAGGCTTACCAGTGGACGGCCGAGGAACTGCTGTCCGTCTAGCGACCTCATAGCCTGCGTGGCAGCCTGGATATCCCGAAAGACGATGTGTGCCTGGCCGCGCATCTTCATCGTCTTGAGCGCGACGACATCGAGAACAGGGCCGTACGTCGAGAAGAGCATGTACAGGGCGGTTCGCAAGTCGGCCTTTTGGATCTTGGATGACGGTAGATTTGTCACGTAGAGACTAGTCGTATATATATACAGAGTCAGTTAGACAGATCGGCTGCCCGCCGCAGGAGACAGGACAGGAACTCACGTCTGGTTGGGCGGGATGGGCTGGACCTTGGCCGGTAACGAAGCGTTGGGGGCGAGCCCGCGAGGAGGTGCTGTGGCCGCCATCGTGTCGTTGTGAGGACGTTGGTCGGACTCCTCTACAAGCCTCGATGTAGATGTAGAGTCGCGCAATCGGTTGACGGGAGGGGTAAGATCCGGGCGGTGGTGGATGGACAGTGCTATGAAGTCGGAGGCGGTTGTTGTTGACCGACGTGGAGAAGAATCGTGGTTGTCGATTTTTGCTCCTAGTCTCAATGCGGGCAGAGAGCCAGTGCCAGTGCTCACTGCTCAGTGCTCACTGCCTGCGCTCGGTGGACTGGAATATCGGGTGCCTGAGGGGGGGGGGGGGGGGGGGGGGGGGGGGGGGGAGGTGGCCCAAGCTTCCAAGGTTCAATCAATCCCAGCCTGGGCAGTAACATCTGGTGGTGTGGTAGGCCCTGGTAGGTACCTTCCCCACTAAGCAGCCGCAGCACCTCTCTCCCCTCCTCGTAGCAGAGCATCATCATCTACGATCCATCACCATTTCAACTCTGACCGCCCGTCCTCCTTGACCGTAACAGTGCGGTGGTAGAGAGCTACTCCTATCGCATATACAGTCAGAAAGCCAGTCGTCCAACGAGAACGATACCCCGTCGACCGACGACCGAAATGGCCAGCGAGGTCCACCACCTGTTTCACGGCCCCATCGCCGACCACTCCTTCTCGGCCGACCAGCAGACCCTTGCTGTCACGCGAGACTCTGCCGTCGAGCTGTACGGCCGGGCTGGGAACACCTTCAAGCTCCAGGACGAGCTCAAGGGCCACGACAAGACCGTCACCAGCGTCGATATCGCCCCCCACAGCGGCCGCATCGTCTCGTGCTCCCAGGACCGCAACGCTCTCGTCTGGGAGCCCTCGCCCACGGGTTACAAGCCGACGCTCGTCCTGCTGCGCATCAGCCGCGCCGCCACCTTCGTCCGCTGGTCGCCCAACGAGACCAAGTTCGCCGTCGGGTCCGGAGACCGCCTGATCGCCGTGTGCTACTTTGAGGAGGAGAACGACTGGTGGGTGTCGAAGCACCTCAAGAAGCCGATCCGCAGCACCATCACGTCGGTCGACTGGCACCCCAACTCCGTGCTGCTGGCTGCGGGCTCCACCGATGCCCACGCCCGCGTCTTCTCGAGCTACGTCAAGGGTATCGACCAGCGCCCCGAGCCCACGGCCTGGGGTGAGAGGCTGCCCTTCAACACGGTCTGCGGCGAGTTCCTCAACAACTCGGCCGGCTGGGTCCACTCGGTAGCCTTCTCGCCCAGCGGTGATAGCCTCGCCTTTGCCGCCCACGACAGCAGCATCACTGTCGTCTACCCCAGTTCCCCCGAGCAGCCGCCCCGCGCCGTCGTCACCATTGCCACCCAGCTTCTCCCCTTCAAGTCGCTCCTCTGGAAGGCCGAGGACGAGATCATTGCCGCCGGCTACGACTGCGAGGCCTTCCGCTTCCGGGGCGGCGAGACTGGCTGGCAGATCACCGGCACCGTCGACACACGCAACCCCGCAGCCGACGACGGCGAGCAGAAGGAGGAGTCTGCCCTCAAGATGTTCAAGCAGATGGACCTCAAGGGCAAGGCCAAGGACGACACCCAGCTCAAGACGATTCACCAGAACACCGTGACGCGCATCCGTCCCTTTGGACCTTCTGGTAGCGGAGTGTCCAAGTTTAGCTGTAAGTCCTTCCCCTCCCCGTGTTTCTCCTTCCCTTAAACGTGCATGTCTGACTGACGTTGTGCCGTATAGCCAGCGGAGTTGATGGCAGGGTTATCGTCTGGAATGCCTAGTTACTGCCACATATAGATATGCACAGGCACAGGCCGCATGGTCTTGCCTTAGATGGACTGCTAGTTTGATCATTTTCTCCTCTGTTGACAATTGTACATCTACATTGAATGGCCTCACAGGGCGAATGGCGAACCGTTGTAGTCGAGCTTGTTTGATTTCCTCTGTACGTCCGGCCTACTGCTCACTACCTAAAGCCTCGACTGCGACTGCGCGGGATGCTCGGGAGCTAGTCAGGGAAGAGCAATGCACTCGATCTCGACGTCGACATTCTTGGGGAGGGTCTTGACGGCAACGCAGCTGCGAGCAGGCTTGTGGGAGAACCACTTCTCGTACTCGGTATTGACGTCCTTTGGGGGTCTCTCTCGTCAGCGACATCTTCTTCATCCTCTCTGTTCCCAGAAAAGTGGCCCTCGGAGTACACATCTCTGACGGGAGAGGGAGGAGGGATACTGGGAATGCGTACGGCAAAGTGGTCCATGTCAGAGATGAAAATGGTAGTCTTGACAACCTTGGGCAGACCGGAGCCCGCAGCCTCGAGGACAGCCTTGGCGTTCTTGCAGGCCTGAGCAGTCTTTTCGCCGATGGATCCCTCGACCAGGGCTCCCTCGGGGGTGAGGGGGATCTGACCAGAGGCAAAGATGGCGAAGGGGGTCTTGATGGCCTGGGACTGTTGGTTGGGGGGGGGTGAGAGGATGTGTGCAATTAGCTCTTGAATTGGACGACGATGAGAGAGTCAGGAGGGAGAGTGGGGAGGGTCGTACGTAAGGGCCAAGGGCGGCGGGAGCGTCCTTGGTGAAGACAATGGTCTGATCGGACATGGTGGTGGATCTGTAGCGTCGAGCTGCAGAGGGTGTGAACGGGTGCCTCTTGAGAGCGACAGCAGCAGAGGCAGAAGCAGAAGCTCGCGGGAGGCTGATGGACCTCGCGGCCGTGCGGAGTGGAAGCGGCAACATACCTGTTGTTCTGCTGTGAGTGAGTGAGATCAGACCGTAGAAGAGGGCAGAGGGGAAGAGAAGATTCGGTTACGGTTGTCCTTGCCCAACAGGTGGTCGAGAGATGGTCAGCGCGAGAGGCGGCGGTTCTTCTTAAATGGTCGTCTAGGTCGTTGGTGGGTTTGGATTTCGGAACTAGAAGAGGGGAGGGGGGGGGTTCCCTCCGCTCGAGGAGCTCCGTTCATCGGCGGGAGAACAAGAAGATGCCACACCCTCCTCCCCCCACTTTGGCGGCTGCTTCGAAAGGTTTACTTCTTTTTTACTCGTACGATGGGTGAGATGGATGGGGGGTTCTGGTACACTCGGATGTGCTTGCCAGTGGCTATGAAGTATGTAAATATAATTATCTTACCGTTACCTAGAATCCGTAGGATCCTATCTGCAAACATTTAGCATGAGGTACATGGAATTCCCAATTCTCAATTCCTGTCGTCATGGTCAGATCCCCTACAGGGTAAGTCAACAGACATGGTACGTACCGGAACGATGTGCACTTGCACTGCCATTGACACGTAACGCGCTTCTGGGGAGTTCTCCACGCTCTGCTTGCTATTCGTAACTTGCTACGGATGGATTACTGCTCTTTCAGAGACTTCCGTTGTTTTCATTCTCCTTCTCTCCCCATCTCTTCTCATCGTTCCACTCTTCCGTTCCTTTATGCTCTCCCGCTGATCTCCTTTCCTCTTTCTCTTTACATGCGTTCCGTGCCAGGCCATATTCATCGTAAGTCCTTCTCCTCTCCTCTCCTCCTGCTGAGCAGCTTCCTCTTCTAGGTAGCTCCCACCCTACTTTAACCCCTGTTTGGAGCTCGAACCTCTCTGGCCGTCCCTCTTCCTCTACCAGACCCCCATCCTACGACGACCATCGTCGTATCCGCACGGGAAACACAGCATACAAGTCTCTGGGGACGGAACCCGAGCTGACGCATCCATTACCCGTCTCTTAGATTAGGAAAAAAAAAAGAAGAAGGAGAAGGAGAGAGAGACCATCATCCGCGGCGTCTGATAGTTCCCCCACCCATCATGGCGCGCGGACAGACGCCCCAGGGCAGTCTTCGGCAGAGGAATGTCGCCTCTAAGAAGACGGCCGAGGGCGCCTTCGACACGGACGAACCCGAGATCGACAAGCTGGTCAAGGCTGCCCAGAAGGAGGGCAGGGCGGCAAAGGAGCGCGATCACCAGATCGCCTTTTCCGTCATCACCTTCCTGGCCTTCTTCACCCGCTTCTGGGGCATCAGCCACCCCGACGAGGTCGTCTTTGACGAGGTTCACTTTGGCAAGGTACCCTCTTTCTCTCTTTCTTCCTCCTGCGAGACTCCCCTCACCTGAGTTTGTGGGTGAATCGTGAATCGACCTCTTTGTCTAACTTGAACGACTCATCCTAGTTCGCCTCGTACTACCTGGAACGGACATACTTCTTCGATGTCCACCCTCCCCTGGGCAAGCTCCTCTTTGCCTTCATGGGCTGGCTCGTCGGCTACGATGGCCACTTCCACTTCGACAACATCGGCGACTCGTACATCACGAACAAGGTCCCCTACGTCGCCTTCCGCGCTCTGCCCGCTATCCTCGGTGCCCTGACGGTTTCCGTGACGTACCTCATCATGTGGGAGTCGGGCTACACCGTCCCTGCCTGCGTCATCGCCGCCAGTCTGGTGCTCCTCGACAACGCCCACATCGGCCAGACCCGTCTGATCCTGCTCGATGCCACCCTCGTCTTCGCCATGGTCTGCAGCATCCTCTTCTACATCAAGTTCTACAAGCTGCGCCACGAACCGTTCAGCCGCAAGTGGTGGAAGTGGCTCGTCCTCACCGGCTTTGCTCTGTCCTGCGACATGTCGACCAAGTACGTCGGTCTCTTTGCCTTCTTCACCGTCGGCTCGGCCGTCATCATCGACCTGTGGGATCTCCTCGATGTCAGGAGGCACGGCGGCCCCCTGAGTCTGCCCACCGTCGCCAAGCACTTTGCAGCGCGCGCCTTCGGCCTCATCATCATGCCCTTTCTCTTCTACCTCTTCTGGTTCCAGGTCCACTTCAGCATCCTCACCCGCTCCGGCCCGGGCGACGACTTCATGACCCCCGCCTTCCAGGAGACGCTGAGCGACAATGCCATGACGGCCAACTCGCTCAACATCCAGTACTACGACACCCTCACCATCCGTCACAAGGAGACCAAGGCCTACCTCCACAGCCACGAGGACACGTACCCTCTGCGCTACGACGATGGCCGTGTCTCGAGCCAGGGCCAGCAGGTGACGGGCTACCCCTTCAACGACACCAACAACCACTGGCAGATCCTCCCCGTCACCGACGACGGCGAGGCTAGCCGCAGTGTCAGGAACTTTGACCTCGTCCGCCTCAGGCACCTGGTGACGGACAAGATCCTCCTCTCGCACGACGTCGCCTCCCCCTACTACCCCACCAACCAGGAGTTCACCGCCGTCTCGACCGACGAGGGCTTCGGCAGCCGCCAGAACGACACCATCTTCGAGATCAGGATCGAGAACGCTAAGCGGGATCAGGAGTTCAAGTCGGTGGCCAGCCACTTCAAGCTGATCCACAACCCCAGCAAGGTGGCCATGTGGACGCACACCAAGCCCCTCCCCGACTGGGGTTACAAGCAGCAGGAGATCAACGGCAACAAGCAGGTCGGCTCCAGCGCCAACGTCTGGCTGGTCGAGGACATCCCCTCGGTCCAGGAGACGGACCCCCGCCGCAACAAGCCCAAGCGCCAGGTCAAGAGCCTGCCCTTCCTGCAGAAGTGGTTCGAGCTCCAGCGCGCCATGTTCTACCACAACAGCAAGCTCACCAGCAGCCACCCGTACGCGAGCCACCCCTACCAGTGGCCCTTCCTGCTACGCGGTGTCAGCTTCTGGACGCAGAACGAGACGCGCCAGCAGATTTACTTTGTCGGGAACCCCTTCGGCTGGTGGCTCGCCAGCGGTCTCCTCGCCGTCTACGTCGGCATCCTGGCCGCCGACCAAGTCTCCCTCCGTCGTGGAGTTGATGTCCTGGATCACCGTGAGTAGCGCCCACCGCTCTGGGAGCAATCCACGTCCCAGACCAGACCGCTGCAGCAGTTGACTGACGACAACGATGACAATTATAGGCACCCGCTCTCGCCTGTACAACTCGACGGGTTTCTTCTTCCTCACCTGGCTGACCCACTACTTCCCCTTCTACCTCATGGGCCGTCAGCTCTTCCTGCACCACTACCTCCCCGCACACGTGGCGTCGTGCCTCGTCGCCGGCGGACTGATAGAGTTCATCTTCAGCGCCGAGCCCCTCGACGCCCAGATCGCCCGCGGTAAGGAGCGCGGCCCTCGTAGGCATCTGACCGGCCGTGAGCGCCTGGCTGGCCAGAGCATGACGGGCACCTGGGCGGCGTGTATCGTCATCGTCTCGATCGTCTGGGTGGGCTGGTACTTCTTCCTGCCCTTGACGTACGGGTACCCTGGTCTCTCTGTCGAGCAGATTCAGTGGAGGAAGATGCTCGGTTACGACCTTCACTTCGCGAAATAAGTCATGTCAGCACATCTCAGGGTATCCTCCCATTACCCTGGTACGGAGAAGAGGGGAGGAGGACCCATCATCTCCAAGTTCTATTCTTTCCTCCTCCCCCCCCTCCTCTCTGTGTTCCAGTGCGGTTGAACAAGAGAAAAGGGGGAGAGGGGGTTGGAGAAAAGGTATGATTATACGCACACACACACACACACACACAATTATTAAAAAAAGGGGGGAAGGTAGCTATTTTTTTCCGGAGGTTTCTCGCTTGTCTTCTTTTTTCCCCAACACCTGTTTTTCCTTTATATGTAAACATTTTCTTTAAAAAACACCTGACGAACAAATGTATAAAAAAAACGACGGAGTATAGGTATAGTCATTGATGGATTAAGATTTTCCCCGTTATCCTAGTGGACAGGATCTTTCACAGTTTCCAAAAAAGTTCATGTTCTCGTGATACAAATTTTCCAGCATAACTCTATCAAAGTTGCAGATGGCAGAACCGACACACATCAAAAAGCAAATCGCGGCTGTGCTAACAATCTGGGGTTTTCTCTCGTAAATATGCATATATATATAAGAGATGATGAGTTATGATCTAAGAGGGAGGATCGGGCTTGGGGTCAGGCCCTCTCGGACGAGGACCGGCTGGACGGGATCCGGTCCCGCGGGGTGTCCCGGTCGAAGGGGGAGGACCGGTCGAAGGCGGGGTCCCAGCGGGAGGGCGAGGGCCGGTTGGACCTGGTCCAGTTGGACGAGGTGTCCCGACGGCCGAGGGGAGAGGACCGGTCGAGCGTGGAGGCCCGGTTAGAGGGCGAGGACCGGACGGATGGGGAGTCGCAACCGGAGGGAGAGGATCGGCTGAAGGCTGCCCAGCTGGACGGGGACAGGTCGGACGAGAAGGTCCGGAAGTGCGGGGCCCGGAAGGACGGGGATGTCCGATCGGAGGGGGATCCCCAGATGAAGAGGGGCCACCGGCTTGACGGAGGCCGCCGGACGGACGGGGGGGGCTGGTCGGAGGAGGAAGTGTACCGGATGGACTGGGCGGGCCGGGCAGGGGTGGAGTACCGCTTGGAGGGCGAGGCACGGCCGAGGGGGGAGCACCGGCCCAGGGAAGGGGAGCGCCGGCTCGACGAGGAGCGCCAGAAGGACGAGGAGGCCTTGGAGGGGGGACGGGTCGACCGGCCGAGACTCCACTCCCGGCCGGACGGACAGGTCCGGTCACACGAGGAGGATCCAGATCGGCGGAGGGTGGGAGGCCGTCCCCGGGGTGAGGTTCCGTGGGCGCACGCCACCCCGGCCAGCGGAGGTAGGCCACCTTCCGGCCCCCGCGCGTGGTCCCGCTGCGGCTCATGAGGCTGGATATCCTGGTGGAGAGCCTGACGCGGCCGAGGCTGGCCTGGTTCCGCCTCCTCGCCTGGAGGGAGGAGCTCGTAGGGGGCGCGGCGGCCAGGCTCGCGCGGCCCCGGCGGCTCTTGTCCCACCTGTCCAGGCTGCTCCGGCCACCCCGGCGGACGGAGTCGACGAAGTCGTCCAGCAGCCGGCTGCCCCAGTCTATGTTGCGGATGCTGTCGATGAGGAGCTCGCCGTTTTCGGTGTAGGCCCGGCTCCCGACGCGCATCCGCAGCGGCGACCGCTCCAGGATGTGCCGGAGGTTGTGGGGCCTCGTGTCGAGCGCGATGTGCGCCAGGATCGACGTGTTGGCCTCCAGGTACCGAAGCACCTCCTCCCGGGTGGTAGACTCGTCCAGCCCGAAGTAGAAGCGTATGTACGCAAGGGACTCCTCGTCGGCGACGGCCGTGTCTGGCTCCGCGTACATGTCCTCCTCCTCCTCCTCTACCTCTCCCTCCCGGACCTCTCCTTCCTGAACCTCTCCATCCTGGGCCTCTCCATCCTGGGCCTCTCCCTCCTCCGGGCCCGCACTGTCAGGAGTGGGCGGCCGGGGGCTCATGGCCGAATACAGGTCCTCCTCCTCCATCTCGGCCCTCCCTTCTTCTGGCGCCCCTTCTTCTGCCCCCTCTGTCTCTTCTTCGCGGTTCACGCCCACCTCTGCCGCAGTGCCTTGAGCGACCTTGCGGCGCTTGGAGGGATGCTGCCCTTCCCCGGTACCAGACGAGCCGGATGAAGAAGATTGGGAGGCAGGAGGGGCCGGGGCTGAGGCTGAGGCAGGAGCTGGAGCAACAGGGGAAGCACGACGAAGACCGATGGTGTAGATGAGACGGTCTGGCCTGCGAAGATGACTCCGAGCTCGGAGGGTCATGCGTCCAGACGGGGAGGAATCATCCCCGTCGCTGGCCTGGTCTCCTCTGGCGTACTTGCCGTTGCTGACCATGTTGATGGGGTTCTATATGAATGGAGAAGAGATTGGGTGATTTGAAGAGTGAAGCAGAGGGATGCGATGTATCGTGTAGTCGGATTGTTCTGCGTCGAAGCTTGTTGAGGATAGTGTGAGAAAAACAAGAGGAGACATGATCTTGAAGATACGGAGGCTTCATGGTGGATTTATACGATAGTACCATGGGGCATCGGCTCTGTGAAGGCATTGTGCATATACTGATGATGAGGATATCCTTTGTCCGTGGGATCGAGAACATGATGCAAGTTGGAGGTCGAATAGTATCATGGGTTCAATAGTATGTACCGGCATACAGAGGACCGGAATTCTGGCACGAACAAAGAAGGACAAAGGAGAGGGAAAAGGAGGGAGGGAGGGGGGGAGAGGGCGCCAGTGGCATACGCCCTCTTATTATATACATGAAAAGGTTCGATGATACTAGGCTCTCTGTTGCTGTTGTTGTCTCTTTTGTGCGTCCGGTGTAACATGTTTGCTTTGAATATCGCGTTGTCCGTCTTTCTCGTTTCCCGGATTTTGTGCCTTGGGCAAAGTAAAGCGATTCACTCAACAAACGTGGTATTGTCACCTAAAATAGAAGAATAAGCGACGTCGTTCTAACAACAAAGAGAGTGCTATGGTTCCCTCTCCTGGGGTCACCGCATCGCCTCCTACGAGATATCGACTACCGGTTCAGGGCATGGTCGACATTCTGCCCAAGATAAAGGACATATATATCCATTGAGCGGTTGTTTTGAAGTATCGAGCAGATCGAAGACGCAGATATGGGTCGCTGGTCACGAAACAAGGTCAGGGCGAAGTGGATCATATCCCACGTCGTCAGGCGACTTCTCGGAAAGGTGTTTAGGAGACGCAGAAGGGACGAGGAAGATGATGGGGGTGCACCGCCACCACCTCACGGTCAAGAAACTGTAAGGGAGACATGGCATCTGCATGCTGGATATGCTGCCATCAAACGTCGGGGACGATCGAGAGGGGTGGGGGGAAGGAGGAAGGGAACCAAGGCTGACGAGAGAGAGGATAGGGACACATGCAAGGTGGTGATGGCCAGGACGACAGACGTCAGGACAACACACAGCCGGTCGACGACGGCATCCCGGATCATGTCAGGGAATCGTACGCCATACGACCAGTCGGTCAAAGCAGAGGAGGAGACGGTCGCCAGCCGACGGAGACGGGAGCCGGACAGGGAGATCAGGTCGTTGATCTCGGCCGACCGATGGGACAGAGGGAACAAGGACAACGAAGGCTGACGGGACGGAGGCAGAAGATGGAGACGGACGAGAACGATACCAGCGGTCCTCCCATGCGACGTGCAGGATCGCGTCACATGATTCCACGGCGACCCGTGCCTGATAGGAGAACAAGTCAATGAAGGAGGGGGGGGGGGGATGATGATGGATGCAGGGTAAGCTGTATCGTTCCGACACGTGACGAAGCTGGTTGACGGCATCGATGGATGGATATTCCTAGGGAAAGAAAAGAAGAATGCGATAGGTATCTATCGTGGACAGGTACTCGGGGAACTGAGATCGAACTCAGGCTATGATGGGGAATGTCACAAGGGGAGAGAGCCTGTCCTGCTGCGGATAAAAATGCTAGAAGAAGGGATGGATTCTATTCCAGGCTGCCGAATTCTGATGATGGCCTCAGAAGTAGAGATGTTTTATTAAATTTTTATTCGATTTTAAATTATTATATATATATATTTGGAAAAAAAGGGTGCCTTGCAGGCTTCCACAATTGAACCGCAACATTTTTTTTTAGGCTCCTACATTCCGAACCGGTACAAGACATGAGTACCTATCTACTCTGTCACCTTGGCAATGATCAGAGACGATACGCGGGATAACGCGCAAGTTAAAGAGGGGGGGGGGGGAGATGGTCCGGATGGATCAATAGGGCTGAAGTCTGTGCTTGGGCCCTGACCGAGGGCTTCCTCACACGGGCGCATCATCGCGTTCGTATGCAGATCTGTATACAGTCCGTACAGGCTGAATGATACTCGACGTCTGACGATGCAGGGTTACTCGTAGATCTAGCGTCGAGGCGGCACGGCACGTAAACTGATGGTTGGCCGTCATGTGTCCTCTCATGTTTGGACCACGGTCCCCATCAGTCATCACATGCTTACGTGTAATATTACTCCGTAAGGGGGCGGGTGGCAGTGAGGACTTCTTTGGTGGTATCGTCCTCGATCACCGTGGTCAGAGAAGGCGGGGAGCATTGGGTCGTGGAAGAGTGCTGGTTACTGCACCCGACAGTTTTTGCTGATCTGAGAATAACCCGTACATGTATGCAATCTGTGCTCCGTATCACTACTACCACTCCTACTCTGAACAGGGTGGATAATGATCGAGTTGCGGTGGCCGTCGGAGCGCACGGGGGGTGGAAAAGGTACCCGTACGTAATCTGTACAGGTTGCGGGTACTCGTACATGCATCGTACTATCATCATTCATCATGACTCTGTAGACGAGCTTGGAAAGGGAAATGGCCGAATGTCGCATCGCAGACATGGCTGGTCGAGTCACGACGCACATGCAAAACGTGTCTGTCCGTCCGTCTTGCCCTTCCACGTAGGGTGCTGCCAGTGGCTATTCCTACCATCCAAGTATCTACATGTGTACGGGCACGGCATCCGCCTGTCGATGAGATATGATGTCCGTGAGATGTCATGGTGGCCCTCGTGAGCGAGACGGAAGAGAGACGGAAGAGAGGATGATGTCAAGGATGGACATGTACATGTGTAATCAGATTAATCAGTACAGATTACAGAGCATTTCCGATATGATACCCCGTACTGATATTAATAAGGAATGCCGCCGACGGCGGGCGCCACAGCTTCCGTCTTTCATCGCCAGCACTGGCAGTCCCAGCCCACTAACCAACCGCCCGGCAGCCGCTGTTCAGACCTGCAATCAGCATCTACCGGTGTACCGGTTACGGGGGGTATCAGTACCCGTACAGGTTAGTCCGTACAATGTTCGCACCTACAGCGCCCTCGGTGCTCCCCCCCCCCGCCCCCAGTGGGTGCCCCTGCGCTCCCTAAAACTCACCTTGCCGGCGGGGCCGAGCCGACCCTCACAGGTCGTTGGGAGAGCCGTTCCCCACAGGTACTCTCTCACCTCTCATCCATCATTGGCTGGGCCCGGTATACGGACTCCAGGCAGCAGCGAGGTCTCGGGTTAGCTTCGCACTGTACACCATCACCCAACGCCATCCATCACCCACCGCTTCGGTCTTCTCTGCCATCTTGACCTTTGCTTCTTCTTGCTCGCTCTTCTCCGCCAGGATCCGCCTTTTCGACATTCCATCGCCTTCCGTCTCACAGTATATACGAACTATGTCTGATACTGTACACACCGCCCCAGCCCTTCCCTGGTGCCTTGGTACTCGACTACTCCTCGTCCCTCTCCCTCTTTCTTTGACTCTAAACTCTTCTCCGTAATATCTGCTCCAGTCTTCTTCCTCTTTCTGTTCTATTGCAGAGTACGGGCACCGTACTACCAACCGTACTAGTCTCTCCCTCTCCTCTCCGGCTTCCCAACCCACCCCCCACCCCCCCCCTCCCCGTTTTTTATGGCTTTGTGACCCCCAGCTGCTT